AATTTCGCTGTTGTTGGCGGTGTCGCTTTTTGTGGCAGTTGACTTGCTTTACGTCTCTCCACTAACTTTCAACCTTGAGCACTTGTCAAGTGGTTGTTTGGCCATGAGATTTGTTTACCTCACCCTAACTTTTCTACAGCAGAGTATTCAAATTTTGAAAGATATCCGTAGCTATGTGAACGGTAAGGTAGTTAAGCAACTAGTTCTACATTACATTAAAAAATATTTTCTAAACAACGAAGAGGTCTTTTTTTTGCGAAAAATAATTTTTTGAAAATTTTAACGGAAAACATCAGCAAATTTTAACAAGTTGTGGCTAAGAAACGTAAATTTTAAATGATTGAACTTGTTTATAGTCTTCCGGCTGTTCATTCCGGCTTTAAGCAAAGCGAAGAGGCAGAAAAGTTAGCTGAATTTTTTTCTTATGAATCTCGTGTTAGCTTTTCAGCGAAAGAGTACATACTGCTTCATATTCTTCTGGGAATCTTTCAAATGGCCAATAGGTACTTGGATACTTGAATAGTTGGACGGCCCTTCCTCACCGGTTGTGCAGGCCCCAGCATAATCTCCATTTTTCGGAGTTTTCTGGTCCAACCATTGTGATTCCTTGGAGTGCAGAGGTGAGCCCGTCCTCAAAGTCTGCCCTAGGTTTTCACCACCACAGGCAGTCGCAGCGCTTGTGGAACAGGGGGAGATTTGCCACCAGACGACTAGGCTAATAGGTAGACTAGTGAAAAGGTATGGTAATCTTCTTTCAAGCGGTTTTTTAAATGTACGAAAACTTTTCTGTTTAAACATATCAGCTTTTATTTTTAACATTTATTTGGAGTTTTTTTTACGAATATTTGAAATATTACGGTACTGAGTATTTCTGTCAGAGCAACAAATTATTTCTACATCGATTATCACATTCTTTCCTTCCTGCCTTTCGAGCCAACTTGGTACAAGGACGTTCATGTGATTTGATATAAATGTAGAAATGTAAATTGATATACATACCGTTGAGAAATTCGTGAGAGAAAAAGTTATTTCAAATGTTTGGAAGAACTTTCACGGATGATGTTTAATACCTGCATTAAACTTGCTGAACAGAAGTAGAAAGAATTATTCAATCAATGCCGATGTTAATAGAAAGTCGGACTTGGGAGTTAAATTGATATAGTTAGTTAGCTAGAGTGGACCATATGCACTGGTTTGAAATCAATGCGACCTCATCAAAATCTTTATGTTCTTGTTCAGAATAGCTTTGCCATGCTTTGTGTGTTCAAGAAACAGCATGTTTAATGCAGGTATTAAACATCATCCGTGAAAGTTCTTCCAAGCATTTGAAATAACTTTTTCTCTCACGAATTTCTCAACGCTCTATGAATGCGGAAAAATTAAGCACAGTGCCAACCAACTGCCACAAAAATTGGTCATAGTCATGCATTTATTAGACAACTTTACTTAGTAAAAGGTAATGCTTTCGTCCACCCAGAATTTTTGGTCCTTTGTCAGAACGCTGTGCAGATCCGCTATTTTGTCGCCAGGTTTCAATTGAGATTTTCACAGCTTACTTGTTAGTCAACTTTCCCATACAATCTTTAAAATTAGCATCAACGTCTTCTGAACACCTCGACGGAAAGCTTCGTTCGTATTTGTGCTAAATTCACCAATATTTTTTGTTGTTCCTTGCAAACGTTATGTTTTAGACGTAAAAGATAGTCTTGAAATTTTAGAATTTCGTCAATAAAGGTATAATTCGACTGGGAAACTTTTTCGCTTTGCAAAAAACGATAGAAGAAAGAAGTAGACTTTGGCTACTGCTGCACAACGAATAGGTGTAAAAGGATAAAAGGATAAAGCTGTCGGCGTTGATCAATCTTTTAGGGATGCGCCTTGCATTCGACTTCATTGAGTATCGTTGGAGGTGATTGAATTCATATACGGCCTTTACAATGACTCGGAGTGGTCTACCGATCTATCGAGCCATTGCTGCTGTCCTGCTAGACAAATCTGCTACCAATGTGCTGACCCCGAAGGGATGGAAGGCTTGGTGAGCAATGGGCGCGGAGAACGATTCCATGTTGCAGAGGCGCCTCGAACCACTGCGCCACGCCCTAAGGAATAGGTGTAGAGACAGAAAACGTTAGTTAGTCGTTGAACAATCGCTTTCCATTTCCGGCCCGTATTTAGGACCGTTTTAGGCAAGTATTTCTTACGTTTGTGCTTTTCTTTTTCAAAGTTTTCCCTAAGTGCGACTGTGCTCAGTTATTTGTCATGCCTACTTACTGCCTTTTTTGGAAGATTCCGTCTCCTTCAAGACCGTAAAAAAGTAATTGAAGTTACTTCATTTTCGCAATAAATCGATATACTGATTTCTCCACGACTCCGTCAATTTAGAGAACTGGAAAAGTCGAAAATCGAAAAATATGTAGTTAACCACAACAATGCTGAGATATTGACAAAGCTTGGTCCCCGGGCCAGATCGAACCACGATTTCCCTTTTCGTAAACTCGGGCATTACACATTGCGCTACGGACGCCCTTGCGCCGCGTTTCTCTCATTTAGTTTCCTACCTAACGTTCCCATGAGCAATCACCCGTCAGCGGGATTGATCTGTAGAGCACAAATCTTCATCAAACCCAGTTAAGCTGAGACAATACTGATGGCAGCGTTAGGTAGAAAACTAGCTGAGAGACGCAGATCAAGGGCCTCCGAGGAGCAGTGTGTCTGCGCTAGCCACCGGGAAAGGAAATCGTGGTTCGATCTGGTCTGGAGTCCAAGTTTTGCGAATATCTCAGTATCGTTGCTGCCGTAATTCACATCACATCCTGCCTTGAAAATTATAGTAGGCAGGAAATAAAAGATTAACAATATCTAGATATTTCTATCGTTTTTCGAGTAGACAACTAAAGTGAAACAATTACATCTCTTGTTCCATTGTTATTTCAAAATTGTTAAGAAAATCAATTTTTCGAAGCGATAGCTCATTTATGGAGGATTATAGCGAAAGTTTTGTGCATTTCCTCATTTAAATGTACACCTACTTAGTGGTATACGATAGCAAATGGCTCTCTCAATACTGTAGATGTGAACTGTATGGACTCGCGATTCCACGCGAAAACAGTCTGAAATTGTTTGTTCAAACTACATTCGGTCACGAAGGATATCCGTATTGTTCAATGTGCATACCAACTGGGGAGACAAACTTGCATCCTGAGAAGCTTCTGATGAATTTAATACATTATGACATTAGACTGTTTAGAATGAGAGTAGCGCACTGGTTCTGCAATAGACACGCGGTGGATGTGTTGGCCAACCAAGTTTTCCTTCCCTTAGGGTAAATTGGTACTAGTTTATAAGGGTAGAAAGACTGGGTTAACACATCGGTGGTGGTTATTGTATTGGCCAAATATATATTGAATGGTCTCTCTGATGGCCACAATTTGATTTGAATGCGTGGGCCGCTCCTAATGATCAACGTCGAACGTTTTTCTTTATCTAATCGTTATCCTCTAGCACGTGTTCTGTCAATAAATAATGTCTTGTATGCAGTTTCTTAGACCATCATCTTCGTGTTAAATCAAATTTATTCTAACTTTAAGCCGAACCCGGAAAGTTATATCGTTATCGGTTTATCGGTCATCCAATAGAAGGAACCCGTACCATCGAGTAAGTCACTGTCTTCCTGTAAGGCTTCGGTTTTCGAGGCAAAATGCCTCAACCACGACAACCGGCGTTCCTCTGTCTTGAAAATCGCTCTGACGTCGCTTTAGAGCAACTATTAATGGAAAACTCATGCAGACTTCATAAGGCGAGAAAGTGACATATTCTTTGCTCTTTTTCCTCAGTCGTTGATTTTTTAAATATTCTTTAGTAGGAATTGAATCCGCAAGCAAATCCGACTGCCTTTCTGGTTTGCAAAACATCGGAAGAATAAGTGCAACCTGGACGAAATGTTTGGAAACACCGTCTAAGTATCTAAGCAAGTTAGAAAAGTGAAACTCCCGTGATGCATTGGCAATGAAATGGTTACTGAGGTGTGGTACGCTCTGCCATCATATTCCGATTGCAGATCAAGCGTTTTTCACATGATCCAACTTCACATCTACTGTTCGGGTTTGAGCACTTCTTGCAATCAGTTCGTTTCCCTTCGATTCAGTTGTAGACTTGTACCTATAAAAACCGTTCACATGTCAGCTGATGCCTTAGTGACTTCTTTTTTTGCATAACCAGCTCCCCTGTTGTGACCAACGCGCGAGTATAAGACTGGGCCAGGTTGAGCCAAGGACATAGTGTATTTTTAGTCAGTAGCTGTATAATTACAAATAAAGAAATTAAAACACTTCTTGGACTTCCTCCGAGAAATGGTTGCTTACCACGGTATGATAGACACATAGTTTTATTTTTGTGGTACTTTTCTAATTCAAGAGCAATTGAATAACCTTCCGATAAGTAACCATCATCTCGATTTTTTGCTTAAATACTGAAAGGGATAATAAAAATAAAAGGATAAAGCTCTCGGCAGCAATCAATCCCTGAGGAATACCCACGCATTCGACTTCGTTAAGCATCTTTTGGAGGTGATTGAATGCATATCTGGCCTTTACAATGACTCGCGGTGGCCTACGCACGCGAGCCGGTGCTGCTATCCTCCAAGACAAGTCTGGCACCAATTTGCCGATCGCGGAGGGATGGAAGGCTTAGCGGGCTATGAGCGCGAGGATCGATTCCACGTGTGTGTTGTTGGACGCCTCCGACCACTATGTCACATGCGTCCATAATTGCTGAAAATAAAGTAAATAAACTTCAATGTCGAATGAGCAATTCGCTATTGAAATTCGTGATAAAACCAGAAAGAAAACGTTGATATATAGCTTTCAGACAGAAAGAAGACTTCGATAGTTTTCTAGAAGATCGCGCATACTAAAATTGTGCTGTTTCTATTCACCTCTGTAGGATCGTAATGCATCAAGAAGAGCTTTCTACCATAGATAAAGATATATTGTAATATATGTTTGGATACGAGCTATTTATTGCAGATCTTCACCTCAGCGGCGAAGCAATCGGATTCTCTTCGATTTGATAACGCAGTTGTTGGTGAGTTCTTTGAATGGATTAAGCCTTTACGATTTACATATTCCTCATAAAACCCTTAGAACGTTTATTTCTTCACTCAGAGACAAGAGATGGTCGGTTGACTAAAGAGTAACTCCAAGGATCTGCAGGAAACGCTAGTATTCGAATAAATGTTAAATTGATTTCACGGACAATCTTAGTAATTGGACATACATTGTTTCCTCCGTTGCTCTGCCGGAAGTTGACTAATGACCGGAAAATTCCTGCTTCATTGTAACCGCTTCAGTGCCTCCAATGGGGCAATATTTCACTATAAAACAAAATTTAGCTGGAGCATTTTCTAAGAATTAGACGGTGAATAGTGATTTAGATAATTGTTATTCTCAACGAACTATCCACTTTTCAATTGAACATCGCTTACTTTCCAAACTATCATGACTACCATATCGCCGCTTTGAGGTATACCTGTGATCTCGTGCGAACGCGACCGTATCCGCATCGAAATCGAGACAACTCGTCCGTTCGGTGGCAAGGTATTCGTGAAGGGCGAATATGCGAATCGCCAATGTGTACGCTCGTATGTAGACGGCATTCCGTCGTCACCACATGGTTAGTGGCATAAAGCTAGCACAGATCGAATTTTCACATCCATTTTTGCGTGTACAAAGAAAATGCATTTGAAATATCCATATTTGGAACTCGCTTGAATTACTTGATGTACTGACAAAGAATCCTCGAAATTCTTTGTGATTTGTACTATCAAATGCCCAAACAAACTTTTAGTCCATGGAAACTCAAGCTGAACACAGCGCAGTTTTCTTTATTTCATTGTCTATATATTTCGTAACAGCTATAGCGGATCTTGTAAAACAACAAGACATGACTTTTTTACTAACACACAAATATTACTATTTAGTAATACAGAAGGGGCGGATAGCACAGTGGTAGTGATGCCGCCATCATGAGCATGATGCTAGTTCGATTCTGCTCCGCGCCAACCAAGCCACTTATCCTTCCGAGGTTGGGAAATTGGTACCGAACTTGTATGGAGGAGAAATCACTCTCTGCAATCCAATTGGAAACGTTCCATCTTAGCTATCAAAATATTCAAGATGAAATGGAAATCCTTAAGCAGCAACGGAAGCCACGCGTAAAAGTTGGAGGATCTTCATGAATGATGGATGCGAGGAAACGAATCGAATGTGGCTTCCCACACATTGAAGTGCTAGGATCCGCACAGTAGACGTGAAGACGGATCAAATAAAATAAAGAAAACTAATCCAGAAGTACACAACAACTTATGGTTTTTAGAGATCAGCAGAATCTTGAAATTTCACTAATTTGTTGCATGAAAGGATAAAGGACAAAGCTCTCAGAGTTGATCAATCCCTGAGGGGTGCGCCATGCACTCGACTTCATTAAGCACTGTTTGGAGATAATTGAATGCATATATGGCCTTTACAATGATTCGCGGTGGCCTACCGATGCACTGAGTTAGTGTTGCTATTCTCTCTGACAAGTTTGGTTCCAATTTTCCGTTTCCGGAAGAACGGAAGGCTTGAAGACCAGGGGCGCAGGGATCGACTCCACGTGTGTGTTGCGGTGCGCCCCTGACCACCGCGCCACACGTGCCCTAATTTGTTGCATGTCTGTGGAATACTTCGTTTCTTGGGAATCAAAGGATTTGAGAGGCAGTGTTTTTTTTCGGTGCCAACGTTTCTACTGTCAAATTTAGGATGTTTCATGTAATCTACCTCACAATGATTATTGTAACGTTGCTGAAACAGATGTTATTATGAGACGTGTTATGTAACAACCTATCCTTTTCCTCACCATTCTATTGCTACGATGTATTTTGTACAGAAATATACCTTTGTCTCTATAGATATTCGTATGTGAGAGCTGTAAATTTGCTACTATTGCTGGTTTACAACCTCAGTTTCGCCAACATAACTTTTTATTGAGTTTCCTATAGCTCAACATCTTTCATAAAAGTCAATGTTATTCATCACCAGCACTGGCATGGGGTTATCATTGTAATGAAGATATCCTCATCTTCTTAGTCTCTTTTGTGATTTCTCTTATAGTCTTCATCATCGTCTTCATGTAGCTTTATGGAGCATGTGCTACACGCTCATAAGGAAAATTATGATCCAGAGATTTGTAACTGAGAATGTCTTTGATAATTTAATGGCTCGGCAAAACAAAATCTTTTTCCAGCAATTACAAGCTAAATTAGGATGTGTTTAGTCTAAATATCCAAAGGTTTTCTATAACATGACAATGGTACTCAACGGAATGATTTTCAGATGGCCGAAGCTCTTCACCAAAGGATCGTCGTCCGACACAGCACGAAACTGAAAACGAAGAACGTAAGAAAACTTCAATATTTCGCACTCTTTGAAAGTTCGTGACGATTATTGCTTCAGTCAATTCTTTGAAAGGAACCTTGGCAGTGTGTTTTCTGGAAAGATTTTCCACCGTTATTCACATTGTGGCATTAAATCAGACCGTAACACTAGCAGCTATAGCTGTGATGAACCAGTTTATTACACGGGATTCCTAAACTATCCAGGCGATGGTGGTTCGACCTCAAACCAAGCCCACTAAGCTTCCCTTCTTTTGGGGCCGGAAAATTGGTACCACACTTGTGTGCGACAAATCCACGTCTTTTAATCTGCGTAGTAATCCTTTAGCACGGCTGTCTCAAGATTCTGAAGAGAATCAACTCCACCAGTATTCAACAACATTCGTGGAGGTGATGAAAATCCCCCCAAGTAGCGCTACTATCCACGGGCAAGAAGTTTGAGCACCTTCGCGGATAGTAGAAGAGAGGCAAATGGGGAGAACTGTTGGGATGGGCACAGTGAGTATATCTGTTTTCAGGCTATGCGATAGAAAATAAGCAGAACCGAAGTAACTGAAAACCTGTAGCATTCTTATTAATCATGCTCTTATAAACCATCCCAATGGTTTGCCGTTTGTTTACCGTAGTGATTATCGTGAAATGGGAAGAAGGTAATCTTGCATATTGAACTGTGATGTACAGCAGGTGCACATTCTCAATCAACGTTATCCCAATATTGAGGAGTTCCACATTCTTTATGAAAGCCCAGCCAAAAGAAGACAGATGATATTGCAGTGGCAAGCAAGCCGGTCGTGGTTATTCTTTTTCTAAGAAAAATAAAAATAATAAACCTCGTACTAGAAACGTGATATTTGCCCTGTAAATTGGGTTTTCAAAGAAGACAACTGGAGCTCTGGTGAAAGACAGGAGCGATTGAACGAGTTAACATGATGTGGTCCAGTCAACCTTTAATTAGCCTATTTTAAGTGATAAAAGTGAGTGGTGATTCTTATGAGCACGACTTACTATTTCATTCCCAGACAACCAAATCTAAGCATTGGCATAGTTATTTTTAAATTATCCGCAATAGACAATGTGGAAACCTTCATTCGTCCGTGTCGCCCACCCGCTCCGGGCCAACCACGGCTCTCATCCCTCCGGGGTCTGTAAATTGGTACCGAACTTCTCTGGGAAAAAAATTACTTTCTGCAATCCAGTTGAGAACACTCCAGCCCGTTTATCTCAGCACCGCAAGGAAAACTGCTCGATCAGCATTTTACGGCATTTAAGATGAAGTGAAAATTCTCAAGTAGCAGCCGAAGCCACACGTAAAAGTTGGAAGATCTTTGTGGGCAATGGATGCGAGGAAACGAATTGAATGTGAAAGTGCTGGGATCTGCACGGTAGAAGTGAAGACGGGTCTAGTAAAATAAAATAAAAAGACAAATAAAATATTTGCAATTAAAGTTATCAAAGTCACAATTAAGTAGTTGAGTTGACTAGACTTTTGCGAAATACTCGAAAATTATTGATGCAATAGACAGGTGGATTCTTTTCGCAAATATATCACTGGAGGGAATGTCTCTCACCTTCATTAAGTCTTAGCATCGCACAAATTGCTGCTGTAATGAAACACTTGGTACATTTATGGAGATGCCATGTTTTTTTAATAAGTTGTTGACTAACAAGGTCAGTCAGATTTTGAGCATAAAATGCTTCTAAAGTTCATAATGTAGTCGAAAATACTGAATAATCAGACCTTGTATTATAACCATTCTTTTCTTTCAACCTGAAATGTGGCATCAACTAACAAATCATATTAAACTAATGATTTTTCAGCATTCGATCATCCAACTGGAGAGTACTGGAATAGAGGGGTTGAAGAGGATAGTGCCACTAAGACGCTTCCTGTATCCAACTTTTCTTCCCATATCAGAAACGACAGCACGCAAGCGCCCAGTTCTCTTCATGTGGCAGAATACGGCAACACCACTCAGGAAAACAATCAGACCAGTCCCGCTTTTCCAGAATACGACAAAGTGAGGCTCAAGAACAGGAAAACCACGGCAAAAGTTGGAGACACAAGACTGGACAACGTTCATTCTAAATGGCCTGAACATAGTGCGGTAAATTCCACAACGGAAGAAAGCACTGGGAACAAAAATACTACACCCAACAGTGATTCGTCAGGCTCTGCGTGGTTAGGATATGGCGGAGTGAGTGCAGCCAAAGGAAAATCTTATCAGTATTTAGGAGCGTTTGGTGGCTCTCACAAGGAAAACGCACACCCTCCACTAAAGATCTATTCGAAATCGAAATCTCACGAAGCAAACAATTTACCCAACCTACAGCATTCGGGATCGCAAGGGTTAATATCCCTCAATTGTCCAGAGAAATGCGAGCCTTGTGTTTGTGCCAAAGAAGAACAACCACAAGAGAGAAAGAGAAGAACAACGAATCATGTAGAGCTATCGGTACCTCTAGGAGCGTGCAATGCCAAAAGAGACAGAAAGGTATTTCATATTTATATTTGCAACTATAATATTACCTCAAAAGACGGACTTCCTATAAACCTCGGCGTAAATAACCTGGACACACGCTATATATTCGCTCTTCCAAATTGCCCTTGTTAAGTTTATGCCAGGTTCATTTAATCTGCCATTGTAGTTGCTGCTGTTGTTATTCTTGTTGTTCGACGGCTGACTCTTCGGCGATTTCTCCTTCCTCAGTTTGTTCACATGGGATGAAAGGTTTAAAAGTGGAGAACACACGGATGGTCCCACTAGCAGTAGCACAACTCTGAGGAAGGCGAAATTTCCAAGACGTCAGCCATCGAACAGCAACAATAACAACAACAGCAACAACAGCAACAACGAGAACAACAACAACAACTTATACCAACCTCGCATCAGCTCAACAAGGACACTTTGTGAGAACATATAATTAGATATATCATATTACTTATATAACCATAATTCCTAAGACATTTATGATCCTGCTGATTGTTTCGATAGATGTGATAATTTGTCGACGAGTGAAACAAGTGGAAACTGGAAGACTTATAGCATAGATTTTATTCTATAGCTTAAAAAGCATATAGGGTGTCTGAAGATATCATTTCAATCTTATAAAGAGTCAACTCAGCACTATTCATTTTTCTTTTAAAATAGTCGCATGGTCGGCTCTTCCTACCACAACCTTCACTCGATGATAACGTACTCCTGAACGAAACTATCCTTGTTCAGTCTATAAAGGGAAAGAAAAAAAGTCTGCTGAAAAAAAGTATGAAAAAAGTCAAAGAAAGTTCTATACCGTCGCTAGAACAGTGTATGTAATAAAGTTCTAGTTTAGTTTATAGATTTCAATAGCACCTAGTAAAGCTCTCGGCGTTGATTAACCCTTGAAGGATTCCGTCCGATTTCCTTGAAGGATTCCGTCCATGCATCCGATTTCATTAAGCTTCTTTTGGAAGTGACTTAATCCATATCTGGCCTTCACAATGACTCGCGGTGGCTCACCGATGTATCGAGCCAGTGCTGCTATCCTCACGGAGAAGGCTGGTACCAATTTGCCGAAAGAGATGGAAGACTTGGCGAGCCATGGGCGCGGGGATCGATTTCTCATGTGTGTTGCAGGGCACCTCTGACCACTGAACCATTTTCATGAGCTAGGATACATAATTAAATTTGAAATTGCAATTGCGAGAACGTGGATGAAATATGTTTCATTTCGCCCGAAATTTTTCATTCTCTAATAACGCTGTCCATCGGTCTGCTTTACTTACCTTCTTCACGTTATCATCATCGATGACAATGAGTTTTTCTCGATTCAGCAAAAAAAAAAATGGAGTAATCCCATCTCCAAACCGGAATTTTTCACACCTGTGTTGTTTCAAACCGATTTTTTAAAAGGATCAACGCTAATATTTCGATTAGTTTCAGCACAATGTTGGTGGTCATAATTTGTTCATAGTTGAATGAAGACACTGCTTTAAGAAAGGAAGAAAAAATAGTAAAGTAAAAATTTAGCATCAGAGGCAGAACTAGCTAAGAGATAGGTGAAACGAAGGACCCGAATGGTGTCGTTGTGAACGCTTTAGCCTCCTGAAAGGATAATAGCGCTTTCGTGCCCCACCGCAGACACCTGTCGTCAGGAGTTTTGCAAACATCTCAGCATCGTTGTGGCTGTATTTCGCATAATACTCTGCCCTAAAAAATTGTAGTGGGCAGCAAATAAAAAGTAAACATTGTGAATCTCAATCTGGTCTCACAATGCTGACGCTCCGTTTTCCAGAAACAAAACGAAAAATCATTATTATTCGAATACATTCTTGGAAGTGTGGTTTATTGGTCGCTTTGAGTTGATTACCTCTTTCATTTTTTTTTCGATTTAAAGTCATTGGGGTACGAAGCGACCATTCTATTATTGAGTTCAATTCGACGGATTTCGTCTGCTAGAAAGTATAAACGTGTAGTGCAGACTTTCAACTTGGACCGATTGAATGGAAACATCGAGCCTTCTGATACTGGAAACAAGCACTATTCTTTCATCATGATTTTACAAGAAGGGCGTGCAGCGTATTGGCTAGCGATGCCTTGCAATACACACGTGGTCGCTAGTTCTCTCCTACCTCCGTGCAAATAAAGCCCTCTATTCCTCCTGGATAAGCAGCTAGTACTGGACCTTTCTGGGATGGTAAAAACACTGGCTAGATACACCAGTCGCTACCAAAATTTATCATAGAGCTAAAATTTACAATTGATCACTTAGAAGCTACGAATAGAATCGAATGGAATACGCACTCTTGAGCAACCACGACCGGTTTTTCTTTTTTTAAAATAACTATGGTCGTGACGACTTAGTGAGCGGAATATTCATCTTTAAAAATGAAAATTCAGAACCGCGAAAGAAGTACACACTTTTAGCACTCACTGCTGGTTTAGCGAAGACTTGTTAAAAATAGGCAGTAGTAAAAAGTACTGAATCGTTACCTTTCTCAACTTCACAGAAAGTGCATACCTTGCTCGGATGTATTGTAGTGCCATGAATGGATGAAAGTCTTGGCATAATTTGTATTTGAACCTTTAATGCTTGTCGGTTTAATAAACTAGAGGTGAGAAATGTGCCCCACTCAAGTATTGAGCAAATAAGGGAACATGGTCACCGCTGTCGACGAGGTGTTCATGGCCTTGATGAAACTCGGACAGCGATCGAAGAGTTCGCAGAAAACGGTCAAAGTTCAAGTTTTGCAATGCGCGACTTTTCCTACTAGAATCAATAGGAAAGTTTTTATTATACTTCAGAATTAAAAAAAGCATTTGGTTCAATCCTTCGTTTGCTGCTTGTCACGAGAAGAGACATACGAGAGACGAATCTTTCGGTAGACAGTAGAGAACTGAAACTCGATTCTGACTGTGAGAGCTCTAGGCAACATGCAAAATCTCAGTGTTCTTAGAGGATTAGACCGTGCTACGAGTTTCCAACAGTGTTTTTTTCTTCTCATTTCCTAACTCCTTCTCATATTAGGAAATCTAAACTTAAGAAATTCAGCTTTATTGAAAAGCAATCTGATGTTTTATTATCATCTGTTTTATAAAGAAGGGTTTTTGCCGAGTTCTTTAGACTACTCATCCTTTCCTTTCTTGAGCTAATCTTTTCATCCATTCGAGAAGTTTTTTTTCTTAATCTAAACATCACGAAAAATATCAGAAATGTTTTTCTTTTAATCTACTGCCTACAACAATCTTCAGAGCAAGGTATTATTCGAAATCAACCGCAACGATGCTGGGATATTCGTAAAATTTGGACCCCGGGACAGATCGAACAACGATATCCCCCGGGGTTCGCGTATTTTGTAAATATCTCGGCAACGTTGTGGTTCATTTCGGATGCCAAAAATGAATCCAATAGGTGAGATTTTTTGATTTCCCCGAAAAGCTTTCTGTTATACTGTAGCAATGTAGGCAATGGTGTGGTCGTTACATTTATCACATCCATTGCTGAGGGTTCCCGGATAGTTATCAGAAAAGCGTCAACAGGTTTTTCTACTGGTTTTGAGTGTTGAGTACATTCAGTGTACGGCATGTGTAAGAATGTATAACTTTACAGCTCTCTCCTCCTACTCTAGCAGTGTCGTTCGTTGCTGTGATTTCATTTCACGAATCATTCATCACTAAACTCGATCGTGCTTATCACATTCAATGCGCTTATATGGAAATCAACAAAACACTCAGCACTCAGATAAATATCGGGTAGGTACTAACGTTCGTCGAGAGTTGTAAAAGTGAGTTACACCTTCTTGGCTTACTCGTACTGTAGTAAGTCATTGGAGGCGATATTTATAGGAGGATTCTGAAGCGCCATCTAGTGTTATGAAGATCTCATTGAGTTCAAGCTTAAATATATTGAGCAAAATATTCTGTCAATTTTGTTCATGATAGATTTATTGCGAGACATTGAGCTATATAATTTTCAGGCAAGAGGAAACCTCGAATGTAAACGGTACGGCGATGCCGCCAGTCTGCGACTACCACATCTCCAGCTCGGACGGACGCCCAATACAGAGCGTCCACGTGGGCGAAAGGGTGAAACACGTGTGGAACTGCACAACAACAGTTCCTAGTCAGTTAAAGAGCAATGCTTGAAAGCATTCTTTTAAACAAGTCGGAAACAGCGTTAAATAGAGTTAATGAGCTGTTGAAAACTTATAATGAAATATAGTTCACATTAATAAGGAAACCTAACATAAGAATCAGTTGGAGTTCATCGAGCATTGAAATATTTTAGAATTGTATTCGATGCTTGTTCATTCTTGCTTCATCGAGGATGGGGCTGGACAACGCTATGAAGTTATTGATAAGTATGGGTGAGCTCATACAGACTACTTCTCCTTACATGCCATTTCTAACCAGTTCGATTGGGTAATACAACAGTTTTCTTTGTTTCCAGTGAAGTGTGCACAGTAGTTGTTAAAGGAGTTGAAAGACTTGCGAACAGGGCGATTAGACCTTTTCTGTGAAAGAAGGGCTTCCTGGATATATGACATAAAGAATCATATATGTAGAACGTGTGCCACAAAGCTTTCAAAAAATGAAAAGACTAGTTTAAAAATTCTAACAATATTCCACACCAAAATGGGAAAGTTTGGAGGCATCACCAATAGAGCTAACAGCAGTGGGATGGACCAGAACTTCACTACGTGAGAAACTAAAAGAATTTTCCGGCTGAGACTGTGCTGCGTGAAATTGAAAGCTTTCTCATGAGCTGGCATCAAATAGGTTTCGCGAGCTGCCGTCCTTCGTGATCATTTTCTTCTGGAAATAAAAGCGAAGGAAGAGATTCTTCAGTAGTAGTGACGTCATTCAAGAAGTTCCAAATGTCGTCGTAAAGTAAATCGTGATTAAGACATCAAACTGCTGTTTGCCAAGAAGAAGTTATTTTGGAGAAAAAAGATTTCTTCTAGTTGTTTCATTATTCCATGTTTCTTCGTTATACAACTATACCATGAAAGAAAACTTGTGAACCCATGGGAAAAAAGGTTTTTGTCTTTTGTCAAAGTAATGCTGCCAGAAGAGTTCCAAGTTGTCACATAAAAAAAATCATTTTCAGATGTTCACTGGATCCCTACATTCTTAACACTCCACATTATGATCAGGACAAACCGACAGCCAGCGTCGACGCATTTATGATGAAATTTCCTGACAGGTGAATCCAACGTTCATTCCTCTCTGCAATAAAAACTATAAACACGCAGGTACAAGCACAGCTAACAGTGTTCACTCGTGATTTTGAGACTTCCACCACGATGAGTTCGAGCCCGTCTGAGAAGTGTGTCCAATGAAATTTTTCGCTTTTCGAGATTTCTCGTCGTGCTAGTGTGGAATTTTCTAACTAGGTTTCCTTTTGTAAATTTGAAGAAATTTTCAGAGAAATTTTAGCTGCATTTGACTTTTATAGCAGTGTTCTCCTCATAGGCAAAACTTTTAAGGTCTTCGGTGGATTTCCAGTGTTCGATCAAGGTTTGCTCGAAACTTGATCAGGAATGTTCTGCGACTGTAGTGAGTCAATGTTTTAGATCGTTTCATTTCTGTCATTTTTTCTAAGTGGGAAGATCAATAAAAGTTATAACAAGAACAGTCTCTTGTAATAATAAAATATTAAGTCCTAAAGATTTTCATAGGTTTCGAAAGAAAAGAATCATTCATGACTGCTGCTATTGATTGAGGTAACTTTCATACTAAAGTTAAATTAGCAATGTTAAACTACTGGAGGCACAATGAAGCAACCAGAATGGCCACATGATTTAAACTGTATTAACAGACCCACGTATATTAAGAGTTCAAAAAGCTTCTAGAAGTCACAAAGAAGAAAAACCCTTTGCCGTCAGACGTTGACATTTTTCACCACGTACTGATGATCTTTTCAAGCCATCTGATTGCTCATCACCTGAAATGTCGTTGAGAAGTCGTCGAGCGGCATCAACAGAAGATGATTCGATGACAATTCATGCGAATTCTCTCGTTGTGTTGGACATGGAAATGGCTCAAGGTGAGTAAATCTTATTTCCACTTATAAAAGCTCAATTATGTCCTCTATATCTACATTGGCGACGGAACAGTAATATGAATCTCTCTGTCGCTTTTCATCCTTTTTCACAATGTTATGCTCAATATATGTTATGGTAAAGGTTACCAAAAATGATCACGTGGATAAATCGCTTCCGGCGAGGTGTGGAGGAGGTCGAGGAAGCGGTGGGCGGGGGCTTCCCGGTTCTCACGCAACAAAATCGCTCAAAAACGCTGTTTAAGCGAGAAAAATCGCAAAAAGCGACGAATTTCTGGATCCCGCCATCAGTCGCGTCGGGACAACCGACGAGACGGCCAGGGGCGGAACCACGCTCATAACCGTCCTTAACTCGTCGGTGAACGCGAATTTCAGCGGTCAAACGCAATATTAAATATTCAAATATTATGTGGACGAGCTACGGTAGCGAACGAGTTGCTGAAGTCGCGGACAGGTTGCCTGGGAAACTTCGGAAAACACGAACTTCAGTGCGCCGACGCCACATTCAGCACGAGGCAGTACTCGCAGACGAGTTAACCAGAAAGGAATAAAGTATGATAAAAACGTGATAAATAAACAAAAATGGGAAATGACCATTTAAGATGAAAATAAGAGAAAAACCCTACTACATGTTCAGAGCTTCCGCAACATCTTGCCTCTTCACAAACATCGTGGATTCCGATAGAATTCTGTTTGTCGGTGGCCGGTTTTGGGATTCTCGTCTCTGCCTCTACATTTCTCACCACAGTCACCATAGGAATTGCTTTGGCTAATATTTATATGAAAGCTCAACATAAATTATAAGCAGAGCTCAAGACTAATCATCCTTGTAAAAGCTGGAATGAAGAAAACGGTCCCAACTGAAAGTTTGTCCGTTAATGGTGACATGAACATGCTGTCAAAGTAAAACGGAAAAGAGTTTTTTCCTAACCATTTCGGATAGGATATACACTGAATAAATTACTTAGTTAATTACAATATGTAGCCGTTGTTGGGAATTTTAGCGATTTGAAGCAGCGCTTTTGAAAGTGATGGATGTCACTAATACAGCCCACCTGGGTATGATTGGTTGTCCGATAGCCAATAGCGGTCGCACGAAATGACAAATAGCGTTGAGCACATTCCAGTAACTGGTTTACGGAACTGCTCCTTACTAAGAGTTACATAAAGTACAACATGACGTGAAGGAAACCCACCATAATTCAATTAGGACTGTTTTCTTCTTTTCAGATGATAGCCTTTTATAATTTCTCTAGTATTTTACACGTTTACCGCGGAGATGACGATATTCGGCGAGGTGCTAGACTTTTATTTTTTTTCGTATCTATAGCCAAAAAAGCTAGAAAATCAGTTGATGTTCGTGATCGATGGAAGGCACAGCGATGATTTTCGATCCATGACCATTCGGCTTTTTTGCATATGATTTTACACCTTGCCTCTTTGTCGGGTATTTAACTCATTTTATGTATGACTTTAATAAAGAAATTTTCTCTAATACTGTATGGTGTCTGATGTTTTCAACAAGGAGAAGATGGTATGCTGTGAAACTATTTGAACAATTTTTTATTTATTCCTCCTATAGGCTTTGCACTTTTAATTTTAGAAACGTCTGAAAAGAAAGCGAAGCTGCCGATGTCAGCTATCAAACCGTAAGTGTGAGTGAAACCAATAGTGGCTGTTCAGATACCTCCATAAATAGTATGGGTCGCAGAATATTTTCTATTCGCTTCATTCGATGCAGTTACGAAAACAGCTGGTTTATGTGAACCGCAAGCAGGTGCGGCACACTTTGTAGGTCGTCCAACCGAAAGCTTAGGCCCTTATCGTCTCCTTTACTGTCGTTCTTGTTTATCTGTTGTCGACTTTACAAAAGATGCTATTTTTCTATTTTAAACGATCCAACTCCACTTGTTGCTTGGGCCCAGCACTTTTTGCATTCCATTCACTTCCTCGCATCCGCCGTCTATGGTGACGAATTTGTGGGTTTGACTGCTGTTTTAGGAATTCTTGTCTTCTTAATGAATGTCATTGAATGCTCGTCGAGTCCATTCTCCCTCGAATCACCGAGTAACTGTAATGAGATGTTCACACGTGGATTGGAGAAAGTGCGTTTGTTCCTAACTACTCTGGTACCAATTTTCCGATGCCGAGAAGACGAGAAGCCTGGTGGGCTCGGAAATGCCTTGAACGAACTCCGACTGGGTAAGTTTAGCCATCAGCGTCACGGACGGGATCACTATTACCTTCAAGAATATAGATTTTGTTAACAGCAGTAGAAGATTAAATAAGCACTTTTGTTAGGCAAGCAAGGAATCTGTGACCATCAGCGACGTATTTCCATGGAGGGCATGATTCTAAGCTGTTTAACAAAATTCCGCTTCTTCAATCACTACTCAGAATGTGGAGCCTAAACAAAAAAAAAAGGAAAAAAAAGGAGGAAACTAGTGGACTCATGGTTGAGTATGAAAAGGAAACTTTGGGCAGGTTTGCGGAATCTAAAACTTCTTTATCTAAACTGGTAAAATTCAAAATTAACCCGGACACGTATGCTAAACCTGAAAGACTATGTGATATTCGACTACATAAAGGTAGAAATTATTTCATATTGCCTAACATGTGTTGTAATGAATGATCACTTGTCTGTTTCAATTTCATTTGAAAGTAAATAAAGGAAAGTAAAGTAATGAAAGGAAACTAAAAGAAAGACCCTGTGAGGCACGTTATATGAGCCTAACCGGACTCCTGACGATAGTGAAGCTATACTGATGGGTCTGTTGGTTGGTAGAGGCCTGGACAGGTCGGTAGGGGTATTGACCTCAGATAACGATGGAGATGATAAGCGAAGCGAATTGATCGCTGCACTAAAGCGTTATTTCGGCTCCCATTTTAAGGTCAGGAGTTTTTTCTTTTCTCAAACTCTTTCCATTTGAACATCCATTAAGCAGCAGTGCAAATTTGTTTATATCTTGTTACTTGATTCAATAAGTCATTCACATTCTCTGAAAAATTTTCTATCAGTAACAAATTAGGAAGAACTTGGCAGACATTGAAGCGTTCTGAGCGGTCATATCATCCCGAATCATACATGGATACTTAGACAGCTCGTCCTCACTAGTTGAGCGGGCCCCAGCACAATCTCCATTTTTAGAGTTTTCCTGGCTTAGCCATTGTATTTCCCTAGAGTGCCGAAGTCAGCTTGCCCAAAGTCTGCTCTAGGTCTTCACCATCACAGGCGGTTGCCGCCCTTGTTGATCAGAAGGAGATTTGCCACCATGCGACTAGTTTGATAGCACGACAGTGGTGGATCCTAGTATCGGTTTACTCTTAGTTGGAATTCCTGATGGAGTCGCCGAACTCCTTCCCAGATTGGGAGAACGTGCTGACGGGATGAATACCTCTGCTGTACATCGCAGCTCGACACACAGGAGCACCTCCCAGCCATGATGAGGAGGCAAAGCTTTGGGAGGTCATCACGAATCAATTGTTCTAATTGTCCATTTTATAGCGGAGAGTCATTTTTCTTCTCTTTCAACTTTTTTCTGTTGTTGGCAAAAACGTGAAGGGCTGAAATTCAAGGCAATGTAAGGTATTTAGAGATATTGTTTCAAAGAGATCTATCGATCGCTTAATCGAACAGATCCGACCTGAAAAAGAGCGAATACAGGAACAAATCAAGCTGATTTCTAAATCCTAGGAAAATTTTTGAGGAAAAAAAACGTTGTGAAAAAGTGGTGAAAGAAAAGAACCTGTCTTTGTTTCTCTGTCAATTTGTTGTAAACAATGTAAGATTAATTAGCATGTTTAACTTATTATTTCCTGCCTGTCATTTTTCATGAGAGTACTATGTGAAATAAAACCACAACGATGCGGAGATATCTACAGAACTCGGAACTGCAGCGCAGTTCTGAACTCGCGGTTATCCTCGCCGGGGGCTAACATGTTACCCACTCCGCCGCCGTGGTCGTTGCCTTACCTTCTCTCAGCAATAACCTCCGTGGTGAAGTAGACAACACGTAAACTCCTGGAGATAGTCGTGCGTTCGAAGAAGGTATGGAGTCTTGACTGTTGCAAATATCTAAGCGTTATTGTAATATTGATCATTATAGTGCTATGTTAATATATTCGTACAATTAGTAATGATATAATGAATTACAATGGTGCTGAGATATTTGCATAACTCCGGAACGCAGGTGTCTGCGGTGGAGATCGAACCCGCTATCAATCTTTGCTGTGATAGAACGCGTGGAACAAGGCTGAGAGAGAGACGAAATGAAGGATCGATATGGTGCAGTGCTGAATACGTTAAACCCAGCAAAGGTAATATCGAGTTCGATCCTCACCGCGGACACCTGCAGTCCAGAGTTTTGTAAATATCTCAGGATCACAACGTTGCTGAGATATTTGCAAAACTCTGGACCGCAGGTGTCTATGGTGGGGAACGAACGCGCTATTATCCTTTCCGGGGAGTAACGCGTTCACCACCACACCATGCGGGTCCTTTGTTTCGCACGTCTCTCAGCTATTTCTATCGATCTTTTTGCCACAGCAATCACCCGTCAGCGGGGTTGATCTGGGGAGCGCAAATCGGCATAGAACCCAGTTAAGCTATGGCTGTAGTTGAAATCACAATGTTTAACGTTTTGTTTTCTGCCTTCTATAATTTTCATGGCAGGTTACTAAGCAAATAGAGTTTTGCAAATATCTCAGCAACGTTGTGGTTGTATTTCGCTTAGTAACCTGCCATGAAAATTATAGAAGGCAGAAAACAAAACGTTAAACATTATCTCAGGATCGTTGTTGATATAATTCATATCATGCCCTGCCATGAAAAGGAATAAATGGTAAATGAAAAAGTAGATATAGTAAAAGCAACATACTTTTTATCATATAAGCGATGAAATAGATTTAAAATAAAGTACAGAATAGATCATTCAATCCAGGACTTAGACCAAATAAAGCTTTGAATTGCAGATTTAAATCTGTTGTCCTTATTCGAAGACTAGCATCCCATTATGCTATTACGATTATAAATGAATGCACAATTCGGATTTAAGCCAAATGTTTTTTTCGATATCGATTTCAGTACGAAAATTGTGACATGAAATCAACAAGTCATTGCTTCTTGGCACACTATAGGACCGAGAAAGCCTTTTGCGTTGGCCCACCTATTGGAGGTGCACCGTGTATTCGACTCCAATCACAACATTGTACGCCTGAATGAATGCATATTTCGCCTGTAAAACACCTTGTAGTTGGCTACCGGCGTATCAAATCCGTATTTTTTTCTTTCTTCCAACAAGTATAGCAAAAATTTGCCGATCCTTCCCGGAAGGAGGCTGATGAACTCTGGGCATGAGGTAGAGCCGAAGACATTGCATGCATTGCTGGGCACCTATAACCACTGCGCTACGCGAGCTCGGTATAAAAAATAGCTCGCAAAAATGACAACAGTTGTGTGAAATTCTAGCTAACGTGCCCAACATTTTGCCTAATTTCCAGCTTTATACTCTTCTAAAGTTGTGGAACATTCAAAAAAGCAAACGAACTACTGAACTGATTGACCATCTCGTTCAAGTGCATTTAGGACATTAGCATTGCGTTCACTGACTGCAGCAGGACTTTCCGAGGTTCCGTCATCAAAATCTAAGGAAAGATGTCGATTACGTCTCTCCGAGAACAACTCGAACATTCTGACAATGTGTTCCTCAGGGTTCCGAACATATACAAGCCCCTGCAGACGGTAAATTTTCATTGGTTGTTTTTCCCCACTTTGAGATCTTCGACAACTTTTAATGTAAACGTTAATTCATTGACTTCAATATATCTTTGCTAATATTGCACATAAGTGATGAAGCTATCGACGCCTACCGGTCCATTAGGGATGTGTTTTCACTCGACTCCATTAAGGAATCCTGAGGTGATTGAATATACACTTACTATATACCTAACGAAACTTCGAACCCGCGATTGCTCTTGCAGGGAGCTCGCACTCTCTCTACCAAACGAAGCGAGGTCTTTGCCTCGCCTTTCTCTGTGCTATGTCTTTTTTCTTCTTTCTGTTTTTTCCACTAAAAGGCATATAGTACCGACAGAGAAAAAAAAAAGCTAAGAAAGAGAGAGAAAGAGGTAAAACAAGGGACGCGGTTGGTGGAAGCCTATGAGCCCCAGTTGAGGATAATCGCAGGTTTGAGGTCTACACGAGGTTCCGAGTTTCACTCATGTGTCAGCATCGTTGTCGTTGTATTTCTAACAACTGAGTGAGATATCCTCTCTTTCATCTATAAGCCGCAATGTTGGATGCGTCTAGAAGTGCTAGACGTGCGGTTCGGTTTTTTTTCAATCAATATAGCAGAAAGAATCAGAAAAGAGAATCAGTGAAAGGTTCACCATTTTTGCAGTTAGTGCCGAGAGTCCAGCAACAATAGTAATGCCGCCGCAATGATGCTGGAGTATTTGCAAAGCATGGACCCCAGGCCAGATCAATAACGACAGTAACATTTGTAACATTTTTTATTAGATGTATTAGTATTTAGGTGAATGCCGTCATTCTCGCCATTTGCGTCGGCTCCACTGCTGGTTCTGAAAACGGAATTCTCTGGTTTATTGTGATAACGTCGATGTTGGTTAGTGTTTAATGGATTTATTTGAATAGTCACTTTCTATAGATTGGAATAAACTAGAACAAACTCACTTTTCTATGCGAATGACTAGGTCTATAGAACCATGGACATGAACTTCCAATGAAGTACGGATTTATGTTGAAGAAAACTTTCTGGGCGAATACTGGATTCGAAGGGAAACGTTCGAAAATCGAAAAACAGCAGTAATTCCATAGAGTAGCCTTTTTAAAAACAAAGTTGCCCTCATACTCTTTTTGTTGAGAGAACCATCTTTGAATCACAAAGGCGTTTTTCACAAAGCTGTTGATATTTATTAATCCCTTTTTCTTCAGCATTTTAAAATTATTTCTGGAAGAGAAAAATGATTAAAAGCAAAAAAAGAACAAAGCTCTCAGCGTTGATCAATCTCTGAGGGGTGCGCCATGTATTCGACTTCATTAAGCATTGCTTGGAGGTGATTGAATGCATATCTGGCCTTTACAATGACTCGAGGTGGCCTACCGATGTATCGAGCTAGTGCTGCCTGCCAGACAAGCCTAGTAGCAATTTGCCGAACTCGGAGGGATGGAAGACTTGGTAGGCCATGAGCGTGACGCCTTTTTCCGTGGGAAAAAAATTAGCAGTAAGAAATGAGTTGGTGTCGAACAAAACCGATAATATAGAAAAGAATTTTAGATATCCTTCACCGCTACCTTCATTTTTGCTATTGGCGTACAAGACACGATAATGGACAGCATATCGAACGGAAGTATCCCGTGGAGCCTTGTTGTAAGTTCATCAACGGTTTCCTTCACAGCCGAACGTTGCAAGGCGATCAGATACAATGCATAGTCTTTTCTTTGTTTTAAACGTTTCTAAATATTTGTGAATTTGCTTTTGTTTTTAGTTGGTTCGAATAATTGTTTTTTTTTCAAATTAAATTTAAACGAATGACCCTATAATAAATAACATCAAATATTACATACTTCACGGCACTTACTTCACTTGATTTCATTCCTCGCTTTCAGTATCCATTTTGTTTGTGCCCGGCTGCTTCTTGAATATTTTCATCCCATTTATGAATGCTGCACCAATTTCCAGATCCCAGTGCGATGGTCCAAAGCGCTTTCAAACCAGGGCCTTGTGAGCGTAAAGAAATGGATTTTCCACCACTGCTGCAGTAATTATGAAACCGTTCAAAAACTTTCAAACCACCATTGTAGACAACAGCGTTGAACATGGCCATTGCCTATTTGCTATGCTGTAATTAAAGGCGATTTTGCAAAAATCTATACTGAGAGATTTGAATATTGATCACCATCCAGTTTTACAGTAAAGCCCCCTCTACTTTTTGGTTAGTACGTCATCATGGTGTGCAGGTTAAATAAGACCCTTAACGACTGATCATCTCACTGTTGTTGAAATTGAGTTGAAAAAAGTTGAACCAATAGGGATCTTTTTGAGGTTCATCACTCAATAAGGCTGACTATGCCACGAGTGAGAAGACGGCTACGGACAATCGGGGATTTATCAAGGAGCATACCACTGCTTCTATACGGCACTAACTAAGTAGAAACTTGTAGAAATTAGTGATAAATCTTCTACATTATGGCAAGTTACTGCATATTACCGGCATTACCGCCCTAGAATATTTTGATATGGCGATGTAGAACGTCCGATGTAAATGTTTCGACAATCGATTGTATTTTACACAATGGATCTTGTTTTCGAAAGCATCGAGGGTAGGAACCGCTACAAAATACGATTGTAGGTTCGTTATTTGTGGAGGGTTTCGTTTCCACTTTTAGCAATTCTGACTCTTCACTTCATATCTCGAGATACCGACTTATTCAAAATTCTGCCCTCAAGTTGATGGGTCTCAGCTCAAGAGTGGGAAAAGCATGTCTGTGGTTTAGTGTTCTGATATATGTAGGCGGTAAGAAAGGACAAAGTTGAAAACAATCTGAGTAGAGCCAACATCAGCTTCAAGTAGCGCTTCTTCCACAATCATTTCCTCGAAACCAAGGGTAGTAGTTATTCAAGAGTTTGTTTTGCGAGGAAGTTGCCTAAATATTTTCAAAAGTTGCATCTTCTCGGGAATTCAGTTGCCCCAGAAATCTGTAATGATCATCGCTACTTCCTGACTCAAAACGTTCTCAATTGGGACCGAGAGTTTGAAACAATTTATCATGCAAGGCAGAGGAAGGTATTCCGTAGGAATATTTTACACTACTCATATTTAGTGTGTGACTCAAATATATGGGAAGAACTAAGGATTTTCCCAAGATTTCCACATCAGAGGCAATGCTGTTCGTATTTTCGAATAGTCAATTCAATTCAAACTACATCCTCCAACATCATGGTGTTGTTCCTTAGAGGAGGCTTATTGTTAAATATTTCAGCGACTTTCAGTGTTCAATACTGGTAGAATGAAAGCATTATTGAATTAGTATCTAAATCTAAATTTAAAGTAACATTAACAAATGGCGTTCCTAGGGAAGGGAATAATGCAAGGCCAGATGGACGCCAGGTCCTAAGTACACACAGACGTATAAGGAAAAATGATAGGCTTATACTATCACTTCTTGTGAGGAGATAAAGAAGTTCGGGTAACTATTTATTGAAATCTTTTTAGAGTCGTTTGTACCTTCCTATAATATCCACCTCGAGACATTCCAGTAGATTACACCGCAGCCAATCAGGCTGCCGCGATCCTAATGTTCTACTCACGGCACAGGCGATGTCACCATTTTTAAAAGAAAATATCTTTAAAAAAGGATTTTCGACATTGCGTTATGAACTACCACCTGATCAGCGGATCTTCATGATCATACGCACTGACTTCAATGTGTACACTGCCTCACATTTCCCCCACATATCTTGATATCAGTGCGCACACTCATCTCATTCCATCCACAGAGCTTGGTAGACTTTTCCTAGTCAATCGATAGCTTATCGAGCACAATTTTTTTTGAGCCCGTTACACGAATGGGTATTTTTATTACGTTGCACCGGTGAAGAGCACTTTTTGGACGAGTTGGTTCGTTCGGTCGAATTCCCACAGCGGGTACTTGGTTGTTGCTATTAACACATGAAAGACTGCAGCGTGGAGACTCTTTATCTTTAAAAGATTATATCACGTCACCGAGGAAACTTTTATAGATATAGAACATATTTGTACTCTGCAGAAAGCCTATGCGTCCTCATAATGCCTATTTATCTGTGTAAACTACACCCTTGGGAAAAGGACACTTTCCTAGCTCTTATTGAATATTTTCATTGCCGATGCTATGAACGTTTGAGTGTGAAACAATTATCTCATACGTTTAAATACTGGAGCGTGCATTTAATTTTGAAACCAACCGTCATTTAACCTCTTAGTAAAATAATCACCATGTGTTTAAATTGTTGAGCTTACACGAGGTTGGTAAAGAAATTCATTTCGGCTACGTTTCGACGTCCTCGTCTTCATCAGAACCGATGATCCCCGTCGATTGTGCACAGTTGTTTCTCTTCTCGATGTGGCGCCTTGGTGTTCGTATCGAGCAGCATCTTTCTTAGTGGAGCATCCCGAACGAGGCATATTCACCCTGCGATGCCCTTTTATACAGAGCGATTGTTGTTGTTATGATTATCCATTGATAATACTTTGTTCCTCAACCGATAAACCACCCTGCAGCAGTCGATATTATGTTAGTTAGCACATATCGAACAGAACAGTGTGTATTCTTTAATGTGTAGAGTGCTTCCTTGGAAAAATGCTTACTCTTAAGCTATACTTTCACAAGAACTTATTAATGTTGTAAACCTTTTGTTCAAAATATTTGTTTAACTATCCAAAACTAATGTATTTAACAGCGAACAACAATTTATCCTTTTTGCACAGACTTTGTTCTTCTTACATTTCACCAACATTTTTTGCTTAGTGCCTCCTACCTGCAGTTAATTTATATAGTTTAATCCTTGTCTACAACCATATATAATATGTGATTCCTACTTATAATACAGATTCTTTACCGTTGCTTAAGAAGGACCAGTCTAGTGAATTCGGTCTGAGACGTCACCTAGTTCGTAACCGCCTATATGACCGTGTATGTACAACGAAAAATTTCAAAACATTCCCTAACTGTAGAGACAGTGATTGCATGAGCTCGGGTACGATGCAGCTAATCTCTTGTAAAGCATGTAGGGACGAATACATTGGCGAAATGAGCAAACCATTCCAACTCCGCTTGATACAACACCTATTCTGCAAATTTAAATTGAAACCAAACACTCCACTAGGTGCGCATAGGATGCAGAAACATATCGGAGAAGGTTTTGAAGAAAAAGTCACTATCCTCGCCCAGTAATCCGAAGCATTAGCGCAAAGAACTCTTTCTGAGTTCTCGATTAATTCTGGAAACCCAAAAATGACCCACAAAGATGACTGTTTTGTTGCCACGCGTGACCTCTCGCCATACCTCTAGCTGATTCTATGACTTAAGCACATTCTCTGCCCATTTGTCACTCTGTGCGACTGCTCTTCACGAATTAACTGGAACGCTTACAACAAATAAAACGATAGGTGTTTAAAAAAAACTGTTTATTATTTCGCGAATGCAAATTTATGTGTTATTATCTGTACTCGTAACGGTATACCGGCTCATCGTGGATAGGAGGTGTCCGTAGGTGTCGAACTGCGATGAACAGCGGGGACTAATCCTCACGAATTGGGAACGAGTCCGGCGTGTTCATCAGGGAGCCCAACCAAAGTTAAACCAATACCAAAATTCAACACCGTCCTGGTACAAAACTATTTGTATGGTGGCAAATCCCCTCTGATTCACAAGCGAGGCGGTTCCTGTGGTGATGACGAGCTGGGGCAGACATTGGCTAGGCCGACCTCGGGACTCTAAAAAAAACACAGTAGCTAAACCAGTAGAACTCTGAAAAAATGGAAATTATGCTAGGACCTGCAGTTCCAGTGATGAAGGATCATCCAATTATCTAAGTCTTATCCCTGATGGGGTTATAAATGTGTTTGGCTGAATAGATTGCATGCCAATTTGACCCTTCGTGACTTTGAAGGAGGCGAAACCGCCGAAACTAGCAACCTTGAGTATCTAGAATTCCCATTCTCGACCAGTTTGTTATAACACTCAATGCAACGCCTTCAAATCGCCAAACTGTATGTGTATTTTCGAGTACACGGCCAGTGATTGGCCGCGAAATACTGTAATCCCAAAGCACCACGTGTACACGCTCCACTTGAACTCGTTGAACTCGATTTTCCGCAAGGACTGGCTGTAGATTCATCAGGCGTTAAGCAAACTGGTCTGCTTGACCAAATAGTAGAAAAGGCGTATATATCTCAGTTATGAAGTTAGATATTGCAAGACAATGAAGGAGCAAAATGCGAGTACCATTTACATGTTCTCCTAATATATGAACACTAGGCTGCCATCAAGTCGGTAACGTCCACAAACAGCTTCTGCTTGCTGGGGAATTTAACAATGTCACGTTTCCCGTGTTTGGATTGAGGGCTGAGTCGCTGCAAAAATAATAGTAACGCCTTTCTTATGCTTCCATATGAGTACAACTGCACCGTTACTATTCTACTTGGCTGTCCACTGCCCTTGGCTTGTTCTATTCTATTCTTTCCGAATGTTCGAATCAAGTCTGAATTCTTTTCTAGTGGACTCACATCTATGGAACGCCTATGCAGCAATTATCAATGTGGAGGTGTCTACACTCATCTAATGAATAGCCCATTAAATGTCATCACCACTCTACTTTCGAGGCATCTGGTCGATCCGAGATTTTCGCCTGCACTTGTGTACAGCATCGTTTTTAGGTACACCCCACTTCACCGCGCAGTTTGAAAGGTATGGGCTTGTATTCGATTCGACTAGATATTCGCCTTCTGTGAGGCTTGTATTCACGTAGCACAATTTTTCTGTAACACAATTTTTCCCCTAAATGCCATGATCGGCTCGTAAATGCTTGCAACCTTGCTAGGTTTAAATACAGCCGTGCAATATCTAGCAATGAGCGCTACCAGTCCGTTTATCTTGTATAATTTATGCCATCTTCCACAGTTCGAATTGTCGGAAAAATGTAAGCGACTAAAGCAAGGTTTTTTTCGAGTCGCGAACTAGCCATTATATCTGGTCATACACAGCGGTAATCAAAAGTCGGATAGCTGGGTAATGGAGAAAATCGTACGTGAATACTACTCGGATCTCTTCAATAGCCATATCCTCGAACCCTAATACGAAATAAAGGATAAAAGATTTATTGCCCGACTGGTTCTCCCTTCCGAAATCCGTCATGCTATGTCATCGGTGAAGAATGGAACAACACTCGGTCCCTACAGGATACAAGATCTGAACACCCAAAGAACTTTCCGCCAATCTTCATAAACATACTAGCTCGGCTCTTTACTCGTTACCTGTCAAAATGGAGGATTCCTAGCGACCTCCGCGATACTGGCAACTTTCTCCCTATCTGCTTACTGTTTGTCGCCTACAAGCTTTCCACTGGAGTTATCCTAAACAGAATTGACACAACAGTGGACGAAGGACAGCTATGAGAGCAAGCAGGGTTCCGAGGATTCAGTAGAATGGACCGCACCCATACAGCGACAAGACTCTGAGGAATCTTGAGAGTACAGGAGACCGCTATGTCTCACTTTCATCGATGTAAAGAAAGCTTTTGACTCAGTTGTTATAGAAGCAGTCATTAGAGCACTTAACAGCCTGGACATCCTTACTAATAATACAAAGATTCTTCGTTAGCTACATAAAACTTCACAAACAAAATATCACCATTCTATAATGATATTAACACTGGCGAAAAAAAGGGATTTGGAAAGCCGATAGCATCTCACCAAAATTATTTGCCAACGCCCTGGAGAACATCATGCCGACACTGGAATGGGACAACATGGAAGTGAAAATTGATGGGCGGCAATTACACCATCTTCGCTTTGCTGATGACATCGTTCTTATAACATCAAGCATTATCCAGGTGGAACGAATACGAATTGCTGGCTTTGACAACTGCTGTGGAAAGATTGGCCTTCGACTAAATCTCAGAAAAGACGTTCATGAGGAACAGATTGGTTACGTATTCCCCGTTCACACTCAACGGAATGAACAGCTCCGAATGATCCCCCCATTACGTCTATTAAGGTTGGGAAATCAGTATGATGAACGACCCAAGAGTAGAGCAGGAGGAAACGAACGGCTTGAGGGGCTTTCAAGAGCATTGAGTATCTAGTGAAGAAAACAAACAAAGAACGCCCGATTCTATTCTCACATTTTCGACTCCATGATTCCTTCCTCCTTAACGCGTGACTCACAAACCTGGTCGCTTCGCAAGCAGGATGAAAGACCATCCAGCGTTATTGAACGCGCAGTAGAAAGGACGATGCTAAGAGTATCCGGTCCCACAAAAGTGAGAGAAAGGAGTGGAAGCTCCGACCTGTGTTAATGTTGAAAAATCAAAGACGCCATTCAATACGCAAATCTTTTGTGGTATAAGATGCTTGATAACGTTGGGTAATCCTTTATTCTGCTTACTCAGCAACCAGGTTTCTGAAGCATACGTTAAATCAGGAAGAACCGTTGAATCGAAAAGGGAGTTCGATGTTCTTCGTCTGTTCTCTTCGCTAGATACTCGATGCTCTGGAAGCTCCACAAGCTGCTCGCTTCCTCCTTCTCAGTTCTGGAGCTACTTTCATCATGCTGATTTCCTGACCTAGACAGACGTAACTGGAGCATTCGGAGATATCCATTTCGTTGAGCGTGAACTGATCAGATATAACCAAATCACTCTTCATGAACACCGTTTTTATAAGATTTAGTAGAAAACCAGTCGCTACACATGCGCTAGCAAAGTCCACTAGCATTCGTTCCTCTTGGCTAATGGCTGATGTTATAAAAACGAGTTATCACCGAAGGAAAGGTGGTGTAATTGCTGACCAAGACGCTCTGGCTAACCGGGGCTCGCATGACTGCTTCTGTCTCAACTGAGTCGAAAGCCTTTTTTAAGTTGACGAAAGTCGGATAAAGCAGTCTCTCGTACTCTTGCGATATTTCAGTGAGTCTTGTCATAGCGTGGATGTGGTCCAGCGCACTGAATCCTTTTCGAACCCTGCTTTGTCGTATGGTTGTCCTTCTTCCAGTGTTCTGTCAATCTTGCTTAGGAACATCGAAAAAAACTTGTGGACAGCAAACAGTAAGCAGATTAGGCGATAGTTGACGATATCGTAGACTTCACCTTTCGTCTAAAATATCGCGGTTATGCTGGTCTTTCACTGAGAAGGAACCTTGCATTCTGTAACGTGTGAAGAGGTGAGCCATTGTGTTCATGAGGACTAGCGAGGTTCCTCAAGTGTTCAGATCAGGCCTTATACTGCCCGGAATTGATGTCGTTCGACTCTTCACGGACGAAACACCATGTCGAATTTTGAGAGGGAGAACCGATGGTACAACATATCCATCCTCCTTTATTTCGTATGACGGCAGCACGACGTGGCTATTATAGAGATCCGAGTAGCAATGGTGAATGATTTTCTTCATTGCCTTTCTGGAAGCTGTAACTGCCCCGTCTGGGTACCGGAGTTCAATCGTTTTAGCTTTGTGATTGGCGAAGCATCAGTGTACTGTGAGAATGATTTTCCAATCCTTTGCACCTTTGACCATAACTGCTTCTCTTCCCTCTTTAGAATATTCTTCTATCGCTTGTCTGCATCATTTTGCAGTTTCTGACGTGAACTGGCGGTTGCCAGTAGCTCATGTGTATAACTTTAACAGAACGATAACGTTGAGAAAGCGGTGCGCCGTGCTTTTGAAAGTGCGTGTGTGCCGTACATTTTGATTTCAATGTGCACTCTAATCCAGTGACAGGCAGTACAATGGAACTACCACACGATGGCCAGGGTCGTGAAAGAGTTAATACTAATCAATGAACAGGATAATCCGAAAGCGACGTCGCCGAGCAATTAATTATAAGCAGTTCAAGTATCTGATGGACCGACCCCCTCACGCTCATTCGTTTATGACCGAAGTAAATATGAAGGCAAAGTTAGTTGGAGAGCAGGATATGTGCCAGTAGAAGAGTGTTTTCGTTCGACACCACTTTTAATTGATGTTTTGTTTTAATTTTTTTTAATTGATGTTTTCTTCTGTCACACTTAAGTAACAAGTAGTTGTACAAAAATTTTAGAAGAGCTTCTTAACCACATATCATCTTTCGATAGAAATCAGCGAAATCAGCTTTGCAGTAGCTTTCAAAAATAATGAAGTCGTCTGCTTATGTAAAAGTACTAGTTAAATATGAAGCTTACGTGCTACACTCGTTTCTGTTTTATAGAATTGGCATATTTACCCATTACTTTGTCACCATCTTAAAGTTCAAGCGGTCCTAATTTTAATACTTGGAAATCAGAATTGGCTCTATGCGACTCAATTTTAAACAGTGAAAGAACGATGTTCATTTTCAGGAACTCGTTTATTCGTTTGTTCTTGCGGTTTTAAGTATGATCTCTGTTTGGCTCTCATTCGGCTTCGCTAATCGACATCTCGGCGGAACTTCCGCAGGCTATATTGCAACCGGAGTAGGTTTCCCTATGACTAACTAGAAATCCTGAAATTTTTAGGAAATCTTGAGAAAGTGTGAACGATGTATGCATAGAACGGCACTGTGCATCATTACCACTATCTACTACGTTCACACAATTAGACGTTTACCAAAGGTTTGATTATGCGCTCCATTATTTTGGGTAATTTACTGGTGGAATTAACTTGTCGCATTCTCGACGTGTTAATACATTATCCCCAAAAAGGGCTTATAGGAAGGTGGTTACAATTTGACTATTTAAAAGTAAAGAACAAGAATTTTCGAAAGACTGCCTGAGGGCCCATTGTTTGGTAAAGATCAAGTTCTTGCCCTTTACCGATACCAAAAAAAGTCATATGCAGATCTCAGGATTCCGAATAGAACTGTCTACTTAGGTCTTACAAGCTCTCTTTAATGAGCATATATAAGGTTATTAGTACACATCTCTAATTTTCGATGACTTCGCCTTTTTCACAGCATAGACGTAGACGACGTTGTACAGCTCTGTCCCTACTGTTCAGTGATTATTCCACAGTCTTAAAAAGAAAAAAAAAACTATATCTACAAACCAATTCCTAACCTGTTAAAAACAACTCATTGTTCCCTTTTTCTGAAGGGTGATACCAGTTCCGTGTTCTACGCCCAGCATAATGAATGAAATTTGTTTGGAATAGAAAATTAATCTGTTATGAAGAGCTAACTCACGTGGCGCAGTGAGTCTTTTCGATATCCAAAGTGAACGAGGAATTCTCCTTGCTGATATCTTCAGTTTATGTGAAAGCATGACAACTACAATTTCAAAATCAGGTCATTGGATCAACCTGAGGTATGGCGCCAGGTCACGCGTGATGACAAGACACTCCTCCTTGCGGTTCATTTTTGAATTTTTGGCATTTATTTTCGATGACTTGGTTTTGGCTTGTACATGAGGCTCTCATTACGACTACAGAATGTTCAGTGAACAATAAGCATGAGCCTACTGAAGCATAAGTCTAGTCTCCGAAAAAATTAAATAGCCGAGACTTTAGCCTTCAAAACTCAAACTTGTTATTACTTGGATACTTGGATGGTCCATCCTCACTGGTTGTGCGGGCCCCAACATAAACCCCATTTTCTTGGAGTTCTGCTGGTTTAGCCACTGTGGTTCACTGGAGTCCCAAGGATAGCCTGGTCAAAGCATGCCCCACGTCGTCACCACCATAGACAAACCCTGCTCTTGTGGATCACAGGGAGATTTGCCACCATGCGACTAGTTTAATATCAGAATGATGGTGGACCCTGGTATTGGTTTACTCTTAGCTGGGCTTCCTGATGGAAATGCTAGACTTCTTCTCAGCTTTTTTTTTTGTCAAACTGGTTAATACTACAGCGCTACATTGAAAGTCGATCTTTTCAGTTATAAAAAAGAGAACAATGATATATAGCAGGATTCAATTCAAGTACTTTACGTTTACATTTCTTATTAATGTGCATAGTATCAAACATGACATTCTTTAGCTCTTCTCGATGGTACATTCAGCACTCTACGGCATACCATGTGCGATTATCTACGATACTATTAGTACTGATGGTGACCATCATCATCAAGTGAACAACATCCAACCTGCCCATCCATACCATGACGAGCCCTACCACGACATCTAACTAGTAAATTGTGTTACAAGTTTGTAAATTATAAGATAACAAAATACGCCAAACTGTTTTGTTGAATAGTTTACCGAAAGTTCGCTTCAAAAATTTTTACGAGGTTAACGATACTGTTGGGTTCCCAAAGACCTTTATTAACAATGTTTCCAATCCTAAGCTTGAACATGTCAACTGAACAATGGGAACAACTATGCCTCTTTGATAAACGAAAAGAAAGGATTCGAGGCTATAAAACAACGTTTAAGTATAGATAAGTGAAAAAATGGCTTGGACATTCTATTGGACAACCGACACATGGTACCGAAAAGCGTAATAACAAGTACGATATGCAATGTTAACAACAATCCTGTTATTTAGTTCACAACTTCAAAAATAAATATGTGAGAAACGTTCTTACATTAGCATTATAATAAGTTGAAATGCCAAAATAAATATAATGACTTTTGTATCTGAAGACCTCATGAAATAGAAAATAGGACTGAAACATACTAGGACTCAATATGATTGAGATCCGAATAACGCTTGAAAAAGTGTAAAACCGTTCTTTTTCCACAACTCAGTATCACCAAATGCCCATAAACAGAAATATCGAGCCATATAAAAGTGAACCAAACTCTAAAATGGAGATATTCCCATGTGAAGTAAACTTTTTCGATCCGACATGTACAAAAATAGTTACCCTAATCAAAAGAGAAGGAAGTTCATCTATGACATCATCGCTGTTTATGAAGCGGTTGTTTTTCAAAATTTCTCTGACCTAAATAGTTGCAAATTTCATAAAGTTAGGAAAGCGAAATGTTTCTACAGATTGTAACTAATTAGATGCTTCGGAAAAAATATTTAGCAAAACAAAACAACAGTGACAGGCCTCTACAATGAATGCATCGGTAGTCACTGGACATCTTCATGAGAATAAATCGGCTATTCGAGAGCGAAATTCTAATTCAAAACCAACAATTGTTAATAATCTTCAACTAATAATTTGGGGCAAATGTTAGAACTGATCTCAACTCTTAAGAAATTATACTGAACTAAGCAACGGGTGGGTGTGGGGCAGTGGTCGGAGTCGCCCTGCCACACACACGTGGAATCGATGGGTGCGCCCATGGCCTACCGAGCCTTCCACCCCTCAGAGGTCAGCAAATTGGTGCAAGACTTGTGTGGGAGGATAGCAGAACTGGCTCGATACTTCGGTAGGCCACAACGAGTCAATGTAAAGGCCAGATATGCATTCAATCACCTCCAAGTGATGCTTAGTAAAGGCGAATGCATGACGCACCCCTCGGGGATTGATTAACACAGAGAGCATTAGAGCTTTTTAGATTCTCAAGAGCATGATGAAAAATCACGAAGAAAAACTCGTACCTTCCGTAAATAACTTACATGAACTAAACAATTGTGGTAAATGTTCCATTTCATGTGAATCATATCAAACATGAACTCGAAAATTCCATTGTGAAATGAACACAGACATAACAACTGAAATACAAATAAGAGGACGTTAAAACATAAAGCTTTCTCAGAACTGTTTTCTTAAGAAAAAATTAGAACGGAAAGTATTTACACACCTTGCTATTTGACTCCGGGTGCTCAGGCATTTCTAGTCTACGACTATAACGACCTCCTTCAACAATTAGATAATTAACACTGTCGTGAGTCTCTGTACTACGAGAACAATCCGGTACCTGTACCAATACGATAATGCAGTACATATTTCTCTGTAGAATAGGTTGACTACAAAGTCGTCTTAATAAAAGACATTTTTAAAAAGTAGTATCTATTGAAAGACGCAGTAGCTTGAGCTACACTAGTAATGAGATACCCTTCTTTAAAGAATACTTCGCTCCCTAAGCAAATAGAATGCCAATAAACTAATAGACCATCACCGACCGAAGTGATAGTGGTACCCGTTAAGAGAAGAATCCAGTATTCGACGCTGGACGCTGAACAGCACTCACAGTACATGCACTACCTACCAATATTTACAGAGAGCGTGACCCGTTGTGCGAAAGCGACTCATAGTAGGTTAGCGAAGCCTGTCAAGCCGGTGCAACTTGGTAACAAAGTCCGAATAATACATGAGTTTTTTAACGCAGAATTTTGGTCCTTCTTCAACAGAAAATTGGAAAACGATAATTTGAACATCTTGACACCGATGAGCGGAATATCTGCTTGATTCAAGCCAATTCAGGGCACATCATAGCCGACTTCAAATTGCTTCACAATCATATGGTGATTTGCCTCCATGTCTTTTCGAACACACGTCACAGCGGTTATCACAGGATCTCCGGCGGACTCGATTCAACCGGTATTCAATGACGTTCATAATGTAGACAAGAATCTTTATACAGTACCCAAGCTCATACGCAAAAGAAACAGTGCTCCATTATTCACGGTAGATGTCATAGGAAAAATACATTCTTGATGAACGAATACGAGGTTGTAAACACAGTATTTGACTTTTTCAGGCTCTGTAGGAACCCAAATCTCTAAAACGTTGGTTAGGATAAAATAAATCTTTTGTTAACAGTTTCATATCTGCTCGTCAAGAAAACGGAAAACGGAAACTTAATTAACAGTAACGGGATTAATAGAAAGTCAGTCTTGGTGGTTACCCATTTATAACAATTAAAATAGGCAATAAGTGGTAATTAATCCACCAGAGGATCCACGAGAAAGCCCAAAAACTGAGAAAAGTTTTGCATCTTTGTCACAGAACTTTGCTGCTACCGATATAAACACATATGAAATATTTAAATATGAATGACAACCAGTATGTCATCAAAGATAAATGGATTCAAAATTGGTGAGACAGACCAGGTATTCAATTTCGGAAAAAAAGTTTGAAAAAATCGCTTACTTGGCAATGTGTGTAATCACCAGGGATTTGGGAAACTAACGCTTTAGCAAATTTCCTTGGAATAAAGGCCTGAACTGAGATTAGGGAGACATTCCAGTAAATAGATCTGTGCAAATAAAAAATTTTTGATTTATTTGTGTAAATATAAGGACCAGATCTGTAGATAAGGATCGCAATGTTTCGGTGCTAAAAGAAACCCGTCTACAATCTCACTAGCTTATAGCAACAACATCACTCAAAATACCTAGCATCACAGGCGTGGTCACTGACTTCATTAAAAATAGACCAAAGTACAAATAAAACCGACGATTTCTTCCGTTTAACCCTAATAACGCGCATGTGGCGTAGTGGTCGGAGACACCCTACGATACACATGGGATCGATACCCGCACCCCTGGCCTACCACGCCTTTCATCCCACCGGGGTCGACAGATTGGTACCAAATTTGTCTGGAAGGATAGCAGCAGCACTGACTCGATACATTGGTAGACCACTGTGAGTCATTTTGAAGGCCAGATAGGCATTCAATCACCTCCAAATGATGCTTAATGAAGTCCAATGAATGGTGCACCCCTAAAGGATAGATCAACGCCGAGCACTTTATTCCTTAACCTTTAACCATACTAACAATATTTCAAATCATCCATCCAATATTTTGCAGTAGGAGAGTTAATGATAAATACATATCAGCGTATATGGTTCACGAAAAAATATTTGATTAATAAATCTATAAAATCACCAACGAGGAATTAAAGCCAATCACCTTCTGACAATTATTTCTAGCACAACGCATCTGCTCGGATGAAAAGTTTCCAAGAACTTCTAGCGACTGGATGATCTCCTCGTTCAGATAATCAATCGATTTAAAGGCATTTCTATGTGACTGCTCCAGTTCTAAACGAAGCTAATTTATAGGCCTAAGTGTGTTTAAATAACAGAAAAAAGAACTAGAAACATACCACAATCCTCTACACCTTGATCTTCACATGCTAGAACAACTATTCCCAACATAAAACGGCGTAATGTCTTACGGAGTGTTTTCTCCGATTGCACTTTTGAAACCCATGGGTTCGGCTTAACCTAGACCAAGATTTCCATACATAAGAGTTATTTTGAGTAACTCAGTGAGAACTAAAATAAAACTTAAAACGAAAAACTTTAAGCAAACTTAGGAAAGATTAGAACCATACAGGCCAAATGCAGTAACACATGTTGTCAATCCTATAGATGTGAAAATATGAAAACAATAGTCAACGCCAGCAAAGAAAAGACAGAATCGCTCATTCTGCAATACCTACCCCTTTTGCAACTTTTTCCATATACCTGCGCAAAGCACGGCAAGGATTCTCTCCTAGTCCAATACGACGAAGAACCTCATGCCGAATATGAAATAGGCTTTGTTAAGGTCAAACACGTGTGAAAAATAATGAACTGCACAAACAATGCTTTCTTGTGGATCGCGCTCCATTTCTCCATTAGTGTCTAATGAATCCAGTTCTGCCAATGAATCACCAAACGCTGACCACTGCCGCTGAAAACCAGGAAACGACTATTAAACAACCAGCAAACTCTTAAATATGAACAAAACCACACAACAATACAACAAGAAATGTTTGAAATTCCACTAGACGGAACCCTCTGCAAGCACGGAAAGAGTTCTTAGAAGACGACGAAATGATTCTTGCTAAAAGTTTAAAAAACGGGAAGCAAGCTAGAATAAAATCTAATCTCGTCATTCTGAGAACTAACCTCTTCTGCACAGCTGGTGCTGGGTTCGTCGAAACGCATACGTTTTGGCCCGTTTAGTGGAGAAATGCGTAATGCTTCACGAGCACTCACTTCGCAAAAGGTGTCATCCTCACCATAAAATCCCATAGTCAGGAAAGAATCCTGATTAAAAGCAGTGTAAGCAGAAGTCAGAGGAATAAATCAACACAGGAACTTAACAAAACGAGCGTAGAGAAGCGTAATGAGTGAGGAATCGATTGGCGATGGAGCACAGCTGCCACTGGAGCGCGACAAGTGAAGATGATTGTTGGGATACAGGAGTATTCTTCGCTGTTGTTGTCTGTTCTTCTCTGTTATTTGTCATATTAAAAGAAAATCGTTTCTAGGATTTGCTTTTATATCGTCATTAAACTGTCGTTATTTATTAGGACCCTCTTCGCTTTTGTTCGAGTTTGACCACCTTACATTTTAACCAACGCAACAGTCTGTGTGTTGATGAATTTCAGTTGTTACTAAGGGATATTCTTTCTGCTAGCAGCTGGTCACTTGTTTTAGAATACCCAGCTAAGCAAACTAGGTTATTTCAAAAGGACTTTGATTGTAACTGCATACTCTATGTAGTTAAAACTTTCTCTTCACAGCTTCCTCGAAGATGAGATTGGTAGCAGCAGCCAGTGACTCTTTACTAAAGGACATGTTGTAGTTCAGGAACTCGTCTTTAGTTAGCTCATTTTTCATGGTAGATGTTATCGGATTAATCAATGCACGGGCTTTCTTGAGAAAGGGCTCGGTTCTAGCCTCTTCCTTCTCTAGGTCGTCTGGTCGTATCCTCTCCGCTTTCCACTGATTTTCAGGCTATGAAATGGTACGTAAGTGAAGTAATGGCTTCTTTTTACAGTTGAGAAAATGGTAACCGAGTCGGATTGCCGTCGTCTTCATAAAGTGGTGAGAATTTCATTCATTCTGTGAAGTTGAAAAAAAGGTTCTTTGCTCGGAGCTACGATAACTCCAGTCGAATCGAAGAAGGCGAAATCGCCGAAAGGTAAGCCACAATAAGGATTGGTAACAATCATGTGTAAGCTTGCTAGGAAACCGAAAACATTGATATCCATGCCGAGCTTCAAAGAACGTTGGTATTGAGATATAGCTAACACGTTTATGACCATCCGCACTGATTGCAATGCGTGCATGACATGGTACTACAGAGTGTGCTTCAATTTTAACGCATTTTTTGCAATCTTCCCTTTCCTTTAAGAGATTTTTTGAAATCACTTGTGGTAAATCCGTAGTTTATCACTATTACGGGAGTTATACTCGGCACCGGCGCAGTGGTCGGAGGCCCCTTGCAACACGTGGAATCGATTCAGCGCCCATGGCCCACCAGGCTCTCCATCCCTCCGCTGTAGACGAATTGGTACCAGACTTCTCTAGGGGGATAGCAGCGCTGGCTCGATACATCAGTAGGCTACCGCGAGTCATTGTAAAGGCCAGATATGCATTCAAGCACCTCCAAACGATGCTTAATGAAGTCGAATGCATGGCGGATCCCTCAGGGCCGCCGCACCGCTGAGAGCTTTATCCTTTTTATTTATCCTTTTATACTTGGCACAGTGCTCTATTTTACTCACAGTATATTTTGAGAGTGTTGCGTTTGTCTCCATCTGTCTTGTTGCAATTTCTTACTTACTGCATGAGGGATATTTTCGACCGTATTCATTGAATGCGTCGTTTTCTTGTTCAGCAATCGCGAGGTTTTTAAACAGCACACATTTACTTCTATAGAAAAACACAATACAATACAACGCTAGCTGACGTTTCGGCAGTATCGCCTTCTTCAGAGCCTGGAAGGGTATACTGATATACAATCTACGCTTCAATAACACTTACAAAAAGACGAAAAACTCTCTGGTAAAAAGTCTACATGATTAACAACTTCTCGAAAAACCCACTGCTTTTTCGTGACTTCCAATGGAGAAGTTTAGAACAGCTGATCATAGTCGCATATGGTTGACGACTGCGACTGCACCATCCCACATCAAAAATATTCATTGAGTTTAATCCATACCGCGGAGATGTAGAACTGGGTGTGATGTCATGTTATAAAAATCTTAAACTAGTAGTCATCACGAATGTTAAATTAATTAAACTCTTTTAAGCCTCATTAAAATGGTTTCAAATACTCGATGAATAGTGGCAGTTGAGCCCTTATACTGGTGCTATCACTTTGACTTTATGTAGTAGTCTCAAACCGTTCTAAATTTTAATGCTAAAGATTGCTCGTCTAATAACGATGTTACTTTCATTTCTTCAAAGACTCTATAAAGCAAGGCTTTTTTGCGCTGTCGTTCGTGCTATTTCCAAAGGTGACGAGCAATTGGTGATGAGCTGTGTTGGTTCACATAGCGCATAACAACAGACAAGATCGAGTCGGTTGTTTGGCGCGAATTTCAACGCGAGCATATTAATGCAACTGCAAATTGTGTATAACCTGCGAAATAGAATAAGGAACCAAGTGAAGAACAAACTAAAGAGTGAACCGAGAGAACCAAGAATTGCTAGAAGGAAAGCAGTCCCTTCCATACTTAATATGTCCATTAATTTAGTGAAGGTGAAATACGATCTTAATTAACCTTGGCACTAATTATCATCTCATTTTAGTCTTGCCAATTTTCCTTGTTGAGCCAAGAGGAGGTTGTAATATTCCTATATTGCCTTACCTTTAAAGTTCGGAGCAATACTCTACAGTATTAATGACAACCAGGGGCGCGTGCAGAGCAGTAGGCAGAGGTGCTCTGCATTAGGCACGTGGTCGTTGATTCGATCTTTCAGGGGTCCGCAAATTGGATGCAGACTTGTCGACGAAGATAGCAGCACCAACGTTGATATATCGATAAAAGGATAAAGCTCTCGGCATTGATCAATCCCTCAGGAATGCGCCATGCACTCGACTACATTAAGTATCGTTTGGAGGCGAGTGAATGCATATCTGGCTTTTACAATGACTCGCAGTGGCCTACCCATGTATCGAGCCAATGCCGCTATCCTATCAGACAAGTCTGCTACCATTTTGTCGAACCCGGAGAGATGGAAGGTTTGGTGGACCATGGGCGCGGGTATCGATTCCATGTGCCGCCTCCAACCACTGCGCCACACGCGCTGTTGATACATCGATAGGTCACTACAATTTACTATGTATGTTAGATGAGCATTAAGGCACCTGTAGTGATGATTAGGACGAATTCATTAGCGATCCCGTCAACCGCACTACTATTTTGTCGATAAACACAGCGCGCCGCACAGTCAGCGTGCCCATGAAGCCTTGCCGCTGTTCGCACCTAAGGGCAGCAATTCTAGAAACAGCGACTGCGATGTGCGAACATGGCACTCTAGTAACATAGTCCCATTCTTGTTCCTTCAACTACGTTGTGGCGGAGACACGGCATGCCGCTCAATCATCATGCTTATGGACCCTTACTGATGCCTACGATGTGCCGTAGAACACGGCAGTTTAGTAACATAATCCCGTTCCTCTTGTTCCTTCAACTTTGCTGTGGCGGAGCGACGGCGCGCAGCGCAGTCATCGTGCACATGAAGAGTTACTACTGTCTGCGATGTGCCGTGGAACACGGGACCATGATAACACAACCCCATTCTTCTTGTTTTTTTTTCAGCTGTATTGTCGCAGAGCCGTGGCACGCCGCGCATTCTTTGGTCTGGTGGTGCACCACGCTGATACGCCCTACAGCTAAGAAATCCAGTGGCCGTGGTCTGAAGTACACGCGGAACCCTAATCTTTAAAAGAAATAACGTGTTCTTTCTCTAGGAGTTATGACCAACATTGTTTTGTTCATATGAGATGATTATTGAAATTCACTCAGATCGGAAAGTTAATCTGAGGTGACGCACCAGTTTATGCGTTATAGGGAAGGATAGAGAACGAAATATATGCATATATCTTTCTGTATTGTTAATAGACCAAAATTTATATTATAACTAATAACTATATCATCCATTGTGTACAGGGAAATTGATTCATATTGAATAGTATAGCTTTTCATTTACCGGCCATTATTTCTTCATGGTGGGGTATTATGTGGATTACAACCACGATAATGCTGAAATATTTGCAAAACTCAGTGCACCAGGTGTTCTATGAACCCGCGACTACCCTTCGGGCACCACTGAGGCCTTGTTTTGCCTTTCTCTCACTCAGTTTTTTACCGTAGTGGTGTTGAGATAAAGGTAATGCAAGGGTCTCTGTTACAGTTTCAGTGCCGATTTGTGCTTGTCAGGTCATTAGAGTTATTCGATTACTGCTGATAAGATCGTTAGGATAAAGAACTGACTGACAGAAGGGCAAAGCAGTGGCCTCAATGGTGCACTTTGTAACACGTCAGTCTCCGGAAAAGATAATCACGGGTTGGAATCTGGCGTGGCATCAGAGCTTTGCGAATATCTCAGCATCATCGTTGTTATATCAAATAGCTCGAATTGGATTTTGATTTATTCTCAGGAGCTACATGCCCATCTAAATGGAAGCATATCGTCCTCTACGATCTCAAAACTGTATTGTTTGCTTATTGCTGAAGGCAATAATGCTTTTACAGAAGGAACCGTTCGAAAGGATTCTCTCAAGCTTCAGAAGCCCTCTTCTATGGAAGAGTAAGTCATACATAACAATTTAGAACTTCTTTAAGAAATGACATGCACTTTTCTTTAAAACGCTAACTAAAATAAACAGTGGATTGGAGAGGGTATTCAATTGATTTATTCCTATTCGATTTTAAGTTTTAACAAGTTTAGCATTGAAAGCCAACATTAAGCCAGGTTGAAGAATTAATCAGGTCATGATTGAGGGCTGTGAAGGTTTTTCTTTTGGAAGACCACACTGTTGGGACGGCTCGATTATATAGGAATACCAAGTAGTTAAGATGATTCGGTCGGAACTTGCTGCTCGCCTTTGTGTACGTAACGCGGGACTTCTTGTAAGTAGCAGCCACAATGCCGGAAACCTCGAACTTGGGTAATTAAACCGTTTATCATAATTATACAACAATTATGGCATAACAATACAACTGTACAATTAATACAACAATGATACAAGTAATGAATAGGCGCAGCCTGATTTCTTGTGTTCAGGTTGCTCAAGAGGGAAGAGGTTGTCATATGACTGCGACCACATGAGATCGATGTGAGGAAAGTATATGGTGACTTGCGTAGCATTGCTGTGACCTGAGCTAGTCAGCCGTGGAGCCGTTTATATACCTTTTGGGCTGGGCGGAGTCAGGCTACAATAGGCGGAGTCGAGTTACAGTAGGTGGAGTGGGGTTACGGTAGGTGTAGTGAGGTTACAGTAGGTGGAGTCAGGCTACAGTATGCGGAAGGACGGCTGCTGGAAACATTTCACAAGCGTTGCAATCTGATAAGGCGATAGTCAAAGCATAGAACTGTAACTGCAGATGTTTTTCATGAGATAACCGCCAGCGAAATGTTAGGCATGTGGTTATCGGATCATCATAAGGTCACCGGAAACAGTATTTGAAATATTTGACATAAGGTTATCAGATCGTCATGGAGAAAAGGCCACCGGAAACAGTTTTTAAAATGTTTGACATAAGGTTATAATTGATTTACATAGAGAACATTCCAATATTCGTGAAGAATGTTCTCTATATTCCCTCCGCCGCCTCGGTAGCGCACAGGGAATCAGTGTTCGGGAAAGAGTCAAGCCGCTTGAGTCGCCCTTGATGATAGGCCTGGCACTTTGTGGAGCAGTGTTTGTATCGCGACGCTGGTTTGTCCTGTGGGGCGGAAACGTCTCGTTTGAGTTGCAGTGTTGGCAGTTGGCTTGGTGTTGTCGGTTCCCGTTTGTGTAGCTGCGTGGAGAAATGCTTTGATTTGTGTTTGTGTGATGGCGTCTTTCTGTGGTGCTCGTGGAGTTTGAGTAGCCTTGTCCATTTTGGTTGACATCTGGAGTTGTTTATTAATATTATGTTACAGCATTGTATGGAAAAAGTACGGTAGTGAATAGCAGAGCAGAATAGTTGGGCAGGTTGAGTAGAAGTTAGGGATTGTTTAATAGTGAAAATATGGTGTGAATAGTAGAGTAGAGTAGTAGAGCAGATTGAGTAGAAGTTTGGAATATGCCATATGTTGAGCGATTTACAGTAGCTTGGTGTGCGTGGGAGTTGTTTTTTTATATGGAATTAGGCGAATGAGACAAATTAGTCTGCCGATATTTCGTAAAAATAACTTGATTACTTTCAACATAAATAATCCGCCTTGGATTGTGCAAGTAGGTAGACATGCATAGGTGAGCACGAATATTATAATTAGAAGAATAGAGACAGCAATAAGTGTTTTATAGTAATTCATGAATATGTCGGCTATGTGCCACAAGTCTGGCCATTGGAGTTCAAAATCCGTGTTTGTCTGTCCTTTCATCCACGTGTCTATTAAGCCATTAGTGACGCTCGTAAATTTTTGTAGGCCTCTTTTTGCGAAAGTAGTAGGTGTGGATCCGCATGTGACTGTACCTTTTTTGTCGATTCTAGCGTGGCTGAAGCTAAATTGGAGTATTGAGGGTTGTCCATCGTTGTTGCACGGTATTGAGAAGGTCGCTGAAGGGCGTGCTATTTCTGCTTGGATAGGCCTTGATGATTTACATCGCACCTGTGCTTTTGATCCTTTGCGGCAGCGATAACATCCCTGTATTACGGTATCGTCCACAGTACGTATATCTTTATCTACTACGATATTGGTTTCGAGTTTATTCTGAATGTTGAGGATCACTTCTGCTGTTCTCATACTGAGGACTTTTGCGGTGATTTCTCCTTCTTGGTTTTGTTGGAACGATATCGAAGGGAGGATTATTGGTAGCCTGTTTTGCACGTTGTTGAACCATGATGCGATTTTTACGTCTTCACATCTGCAATTAGCCTGCGTTTCCGCTGGATAGCAGGTGCAGTCGCTTTCCATCGAGCAGTTAAGGTTTTCAGCTGCTGCTTGGTTCGCGCATCTAAGGGGTGGCGTTATATGGGAGTTCCAGATTGCTGTTCGCTTTCCGTCGGATATAAATAGTGTGTTGAGTTTGGGAATCGGTGGCACTGTTATGGAGCTAAGTGTGAGCGTGAAAAACTGGTGTTTGAATGGAATGTTCGGTCGTATCTGTGTAACGTGGGATTGCTTTGTTCACTGAATAGCGTTGAAGTATGTGATTTCCACTTTGGCAGCTTCTTTCCAGCGATTGCAGTGGAAGATTTCGTAGATTGTTGAAGATGTTGGAAATAAGTAAATGCGGTAAAATAGGCATCCCGAGCTCCAATAGAAACAGTCGCAACCTGGACCTCTACAAGATTCAACGCAGGCTGTTATTCCTGGGTATTTATTTCCTATTGCAAGTTTTGGTATGAGACTTGTGGCATTTATTCCTGCGCACTTCTCTCCTTTGCATGATCCTGTGTGTGGACATCGCTTGCTGTCGATGACGTGGTGCGCGGTATCTCGCGTAAATAAGTCCGTTTCGGGTTCGCAAGTTAGTGTTAATGACTTCCATTTGATTCTTATTTCGTGTAGTGATGTTTCGTCGTTGAGTAGTTTAAAGCAGGCCTCTCTTGTGAAAGGGTTGATTTTTAAGACTTCGGAGAGTTGGACATCACAAAATTGGCCTCTCTGTTCTTGCCTGCGGAGTGTTGTCATATGGGAGAACAGATTTATCTGTTGGCAACCATTACATCTGAGCGTAAATGAAATCGCGATCATTATTAGTTTGCTGAGTGTGATGTTGTGATGCGTAGAGCGAGGTCTCCTGATTTTCCGATTCAAACTGGTGATTGCCGATCGTATTGCATGCCAAGTAAAATGAAATATTACTCGAATTGGTTTTCCGAGAATGAGTGGTACGTATAGCAGTACATAGCAGCCGGTAACAATGCAATAAATGACAATTGCTGATGCCAGTATTGCACCTGTTGGCCAGCATTCGGGATTGAAAATTAGCTCCGCGCATAGTACACAGTTGAGGTGTTCACAGAATGGTGACGGTGGACATGTTGTTTCGATAATATCGAATGATTGATTATCCGCGAGTTTCCATTGAATTTTGTGCTCGTGTAGAATTATGTGCGGTGGAAGACTGACTATCTCGTAGGATTCTGGAGTTTCTAACGTTTTACAGTAACCGTCTGCACATACCTGGTAAGGGGTGTTACCAGGAGAAGTGAGTTGTATTCCTCCTTTGATGCACTTTATATGGCGGATGTTGGTATGTCGGTTCGAATTTGCTGCTGAGCATTGCCCCAAAAGAGTTAATAGGGATAAAATGTTAAGGATCAGTGAAACATTTGAAGTTGTTGCTAGTGAAGGGTTGAGAAGTTTGTTATAATCAATTCGCTGCTGGCGTCGCAAGTTATATGTACCTGTCCGCTTTCTAGGGGTTGTTTCTGTGAGCGCTGTTGTGTTGTTTCCTTCTATTGGTAATTCGTGTTGTCTAGTTGGTTGTGGAGCTGTTGTCTCGAGTTGCTGGTCTCTTTGTATGTGCTGTAATGTAGGTTCATCTAATTCTAAGGGTGTTAAAAGATTGAGTGGTCGTCGAATTAGACGGTGTGATGGTAGATGAATAACGGCTTCCCGTGCGATACCTTGTGAGTTCTTGACGAGTTCCGTAATTCTACCCATCTTCCACGAATATCGAGGTTGTGCCGGGTCGTTGATTAATACTAGATTGTCCTCTTTAGGCGTATATTTCGAGCTTCTATGTGTGGAATTACTCTGATGCTTTTCCCGCAGTGATGTCAGGTAGTGAGATTTCCAAACACTTATGAGTCTATTGAGTGCAATTGCTCTATTATCAGGTAGTGATAGCTGTATGTCTTTCCAAGGTAGACGAACGTAATATCCTTCTAACCTTTTTTCAATGGTTTTGTTGAAGGTTTCCCATACTTGTTGATCTGTCAGTGCTTTTTCCATTTTTGCGGAGTTTGTGAATTCTTCTGTTCCGGCAGATTCGAGGGTACAAAATTGTTCCCATTTAACTGCTTCGTTCTCATCCGTCTCTGAATCTTCAGTAAGGCAGGTATGGACTTGACATTCTAGCGTCCGATGCTGATTGCACTTATTCATTTCCTCTTCATCGACTTGCACGTATAGTGCCCAGTATTGATCCCATTTGTCTAGTTCATCCTTGAAATCCTGTATGGGCAATGTGTTTCCTTCTTCACTGTGTTGTACTTGTAATAACACGGTATCATTTTCTTTTTGTAGCGCAGGAGGATTTTTTAGTTGTCCTGTACATAAATGACCTAGACGCGTTGGGATAAGATGTAATCCGGATGGTAGTTCAATGTGCGGTTTATCGTTTTTCATCAGAGTCCACAGTTGGTCGCATCCGAGTAGAATGGTAGGTTGGACCACGGGCCTTGTTTTACTTATCTCAATTTGGAGGTTGTTTTGTACTATGAAGTCTATGTCTTCTGGACAAATTGGCGGTGGTTTAAAAGGCTTCGTTATCGCGTTATGTGTGAACAAGAATAACGATATTTGATGGCCGTCCGCGTCCCACATCTGTAATGGGACCTTTCGTGAAACGCGTTCTTGCACACTGCATGAGCCGAATGTGTTTAGCCGCAGTTTAATTTCTTCTATCGTCGGTAGACCTAGCTTTTGTGCAAGATTTTCGTCGATAAAGGATAACTCAGCCCCCGTGTCCAGTAAAACGGAAACTTTCTCTAATTGTTTTGTGGTTGGGTTCATTATAGACAATTCCCCTGTGGGTAGGAAAGTTGACTGCAGTTTTGTGCTAGATTTCGTGGAACTTTTGTCTTTGGCCGGTGTCTCTTGTCCGACGTGGTTTATTTCGGACGTAGAAGTGGGTTTTTAAGCTCTTTCTCTTTGTGTTTACTGGCGTTGGCCTCGCTTTTGGCGTTCGCATTCTTCGTAGGTGGCACGAACGTCTTCTCGTTTGGTGACGAGAAGAAACAGCATGATGTGTGGTGACGTTTCTGGCACTTACGACATGACGACCCGTTGCACTGAATTGTGCTGTGGGATGGAGAAGCGCAAATATTGCATAGCTTATTATTTTGAAGGTACTGGTATCGTCTTTGAGGTGTTTCGTATTTACTGCAATGGAAAGGCTTATGGTCGCCTTTACAATACATNTTTGTGTTTACTGGCGTTGGCCTCGCTTTTGGCGTTCGCATTCTTCGTAGGTGGCACGAACGTTTTCTCGTTTGGTGTCGGAAAGAGACAGCATGATGTGTGGTGACGTTTCTGGCACTTACGACATGACGACCCGTTGCACTGAATTGTGCTGTGGGATGGAGAAGCGCAAATATTGCATAGCTTATTATTTTGAAGGTACTGGTATCGTCTTTGAGGTGTTTCGTATTTACTGCAATGGAAAGGCTTATGGTCGCCTTTACAATACATGCGCAGGAACCTTGTTGTCGGCGGCTTCCAGTGTTTGACTTTGTTGTCGAAGCTAACTGCATCTCGAGGAGGTGTTGCGCTGGTCTGGCGACATACCTGTTCCTCGCTAGTTATAACCTCTTCAAAATATTTTAGAAGCTGCTGCATGGTAAAGGGTCCGTCGGGAGAAGTGATCTTTTTGTGAATAACTTTACGTTGGATTCCGACTGGAAATTTCGAGAGAACCTTTTGATACATGGACTGATTGTCGACATTTTCACCTTTTTGCACTAATTGGCCTATGATGGCTTCTATGTCTTCCAATAGTCTGCGTTGCTCGTGTATGGACGGCGAGTGAAGGGAGATTTTGTCCATCTTTCTGAGGAGCTGGCGAATGAGTTCTTCAGAATTACCGTACTTATTAGTGAGGAATTCTATGGCTTTTAAGTAGTTTAGCCTAGTGAGTTGGAACTTCTTCATCGATTGTAGAGGTTCCCCTTTTAAGGAGTTAAGTAGGTAACTGAATTTTTGTAGCTCTGAAAGATTTTGTGAATGCACGTTTAAGTTGAAAAGCTCCCAAAAGTTATCCCAGTCCCTGATGTCGCCATTGAATGTTGGGATTGGGATTGTGGGTAGCTCCAGATTTTTCACGACCGCGGTGACGGTGGATTCATCTTTACTACTACTCGTAGTGGAGTGTTTGTGGGATGTGTTGAGAAGCTCAGCATGAGCCTTGAAGCCATGGATCCGAGCATGAAGGAGTACAAGGTATTCGAAAGTATTGCCAATGGCTTCTTCAGCAGTAGTTGAGTACTGTGCGAACTCTTCTTCAATATTCGGTGACGTTGGGTGTGACTTTTCGAACATGGTAGCGAGTTCATCTAGTGCGTGTTGAATCTTTGTGGTCATGTTTTCTAACGCTGCAACTGCTTCCTCTAACTGCTGTAGGCTTGTTTGAATAACGGTGGGCGTTATCTCATCTCGCAGGTTTTGAACACTGATTTCTTCTAACTGCACGTCTTTGAATCGGGTTAGAACTTTTTGCAATTGGTTAGTATACCGCGTGAGTATCCGTTTGTGACTTGCCAGTGATAGGTTGGACATGATTGAAGAAATTAACGTACTTGGTTGTAACTCACTTGACCTGATGGATCCTTTCAAGCGGCCAATACACCAAAAATATGTTGGGACGGCTCGATTATATAGGAATACCAAGTAGTTAAGATGATTCGGTCGGAACTTGCTGCTCGCCTTTGTGTACGTTACGCAGGACTTCTTGTAAGCCGGAAACCTCAAACTTGGGTAATTAAACCGTTTATCGTAATTATACAACAATTATGGCATAACAATACAACTGTACAATTAATACAACAATGATACAAGTAATGAATAGGCGCAGCCTGATTTCTTGTGTTGAGGTTGCTCAAGAGTGAAGAAGTTGTCATATGACTTCGACCACATGAAATCGATGTGAGGAAAGTATATGGTGACTTGGGCAGCATTGCTGTGACCTGAGCTAGTCAGTCGTGGAGCCGTTTATATACCTTTTGGGCTGGGCGGAGTCAGGCTACAATAGGCGGAGTCGAGTTACAGTAGGTGGAGTGGGGTTACGGTAGGTGGTGTCAGGCTACAGTATGCGGAAGGACGGCTGCTGGAAACATTTCACAAGCGTTGCAATCTGATAAGGCGATAGTCAAAGCATAGGACTGTAACTGCCGATGTTTTTCATGAGATAACCGCCAGCGAAATGTTAGCCATGTGGTTATCGGATTATCATAAGGTCACCGGAAACAGTATTTGAAATATTTGACATAAGGTTATCAGATCGTCATGGAGAAAAGGCCACCGGAAACAGTATTTGAAATGTTTGACATAAGGTTATAATTGATTTACATAGAGAACATTCCAGTATTCGTGAAGAATGTTCTCTACACACACAATTAAAAGTGTCTAGTGAACACTTTTCTTTAGTCTCGAATGTTCGATAATGGGAAGCGTTTTGTGAGCCTCGTATGAAGCGAACTTATTTCAGCGCTAACACGTGCGATTTACCTTTTCAGACCAATTGGTTTTGGTGTTTGATCTTGATCTACGTAGCAAATTTGGTTTCTATCAACATTATTCAAATTTCTATTGTACGTGAAAGTTGCGCCCGTTGTTCTTTTTCTTTTTTGTCAATTCCCTAACGAAAGAATTTCTGAGACACTGAGGAAAGTGACGTAGAAGGATTTGAAAAAAAACCCTACAATCTCTTAAACTTCTCGTGGTTTTCAGCGTGTTCAAGATGTTTCCAATAATTCACTCGTTGACCACCACCACTAAGGCTGTCAGAATGGTAAGTTTTTCATCACTCTTGTCCTTATTTCTGTGCGCTTCCTTCGATTTTCTTCCGAACTATGTTCGGACCACATCCTTCCTCGTGTCACCTTCCATCTCACGAGATCTTTTTTTGTTTATGTTTCAATCTACCCTATACCACCTATGTTTGTTAATTCTATTTCTTTGATACTTGCATTTCAAACTTTGTTTTATAATTGTCTTGAACTTACGGTAGAAAAAAGTCATACTTTTTTTCACTATTTCCATGATCATGAAACACATAGAATTAGTTTGAAAGATTGAAAGATTATCGACAGATTTTATTTAAAGTAATTGTATAGCATGGTGTCTGTGGATACGCATCAAATTCGTTTGCATATTATTAAGTTAGTGTTGTTTCTAAATGTGTGGGAAGTCTGAGCTTTTTTTATTTTCGTTTTATTTTGCATGACCGATCCTCATATCTTCTACGCGGATCCCAGCACTTCCTGCATTCGACTCGTTTCGTGACATAACCATCACCTACGAAAGCCTTCGAACATTTCGCGCGTGAATTTGGCTCGTTCCTGAGGTTTTTCCTTCTCGTCATGAGTGTCGTTGAATGATGATCGAATCGCTTCTTTTTCGAGTTCTGGGATGTTCGTTTTAGGGCGTTCTAACGTAGATAAGAGTGAGTGTTGCGAATCCTGTAAGGTCTTCTACCAATTTCCTGTTCCCGGAAAAATGAGAGACTTGGTGAGCGCGGGGCGATGTCGAACCAAGCCATGCTCGTAGTGAACACGTTCACTACCTCCAGAGCTTAGTGGGTATTCCTGTAGCCTAATCACTACTATTGCTAATCTAAGCTTAGTTTTAAGAAGTAATGTTTGGTCCAACAGTAACCACACTTTTACGTTTGTTGTCGAAATATGTAATCGGTGCAACGCACGACTTGGATGTTCACCATTTTTCAGACTGCTCGTTGTTATAAATGAAACGTAGGTGTACTGTTGTTCTTAGCTGTACTCAAAACGACCTCTCTTAACGAGAAACTGCCTTTTTTCCTTATGAACGTTGGAGAATCATAGTAATATAATTGGCCAAGCTGTCATGTGGTTCGATTTAGGCGACGAAAGATGTGATCAAAGAGTTCAGTGATGACCGGGTAGTTTATTTGGAACTGCGATCTACTCCAAGAGCATGTCCAGGAATGTCTAAAGAGCAGTATATTGCGGCGATTATCGACGGTGTATTAGCTGCATTTGCCTTTTTTCTTATATTTTCTCTACATTTTTGTTGTTTAAAATGGACGTATTGCTTTAAATTATACATTCACTCCGTTTTCTTAATTCGTTTCCTTTAAGGAATGATCGAAGGCTCAGAAGAGTTTGAGATTATGACTAGGCTTTTGCTTAGTATCGATAGGCGTCAATCAGTGGAAGATGCTGAACAAACCGTGAAACTTGCGGCAGCTGACAGTCAGTTTTCATTTATTCCAGGCCTCCACCCACTTAATTGAAGGGTTGGTTGAATTGATTCTCGCGGCGATTTAGAAACTCTTTATATTTACACTAACATTTTCGTGGATTTGCTGACTAATTGGTATAAATCTTTGGCTGCATACTATAACACGGTTAAGACATGCTGCTCCTACTTTAGAGTCTGGGCTTATTGCTGGCGTGGAATTAAGCGGTGATCCTTCTATAGACGGACGAAAGTTTCTTCCAATACTCCAACAGGCTAGAGACTTCGGTCTAAAAGTTGCGGTCCACTTAGCCGAAGTGTGTTGTTTTCTGAATTATGGATATAGCAATCTCATTTTTATGCCAATTGTTACTCTTGATTCTTTTTGCTTCTTGTTTTGGAGTACATCAGCACACTTTCACAGGTGACCACTCAGTTGGAAGAGGTGCACGATTTTTTGGCCTTTCGACCTGATCGAATCGGTCACGGTACCTTTTTGCATATTCACGAGGCTTTCGTGAATTCAGTAATTCAACAGAGGATTCCACTTGGTAAATAATCGTTTTTAAAGCTCTTTTTTTCGAACAGCGCTCTTGTGCTCCTTGCTTTGCATTGTACCTTTCTCACAGTTTTAGTGTGAAGCGAACACACTGTAAACCGGGGAACATTTAGATTTTTGGAACAAAGACTTAGTTTTTATTCCCATGAATTATAATCCTTGTTTTTAACTTCCATTATCTGTAATACCAACGTATTGTTGTGCATTAAGCGGTGTAGCAGAAAGTGTTCGGTGTTGTTCAATCCTCTCATGTTGCGCCATATATCCGGTGTGCAGATCTGGCGTATACTGTGAGCTCAGGGACCTGTCAATGTATAAATTCATTTTTTTTACCTCTTAGATAAGCCTTATACCAAACTATCAGCTCCGAATTATGGAGAGCTTAACTTTCCTTGGGCACAGGATTGAACCTACGAAAGCATACATATTGAAGGACAGCGTACCGTACCCTAATCCACTGCGCACACCACACCATCGTTACTGAGTACTAAATTACGATAGATTTTTTAAATCCCTTTTATCGTATTCATGATGCTTGAAAACTTTCATATAGTTGTGAACAATATACCACTGACATAGTTTAAAACCAGTGTTCTATCCAATTATAGAAATCTGCTTGACTTCAAATGTTATGTGCATGACCACTCCAAGCATTGCGGACTCCCATGTGCGATTTTGGATGGACAAATCAGTGCTCTTTTGTTTTTGTGTGAGTGCAGCGGGTTTTTTTTTAAAATATTGTTTGTATTAGTGTAAGATTTGGAACAGGTAGAATTCTAATGTTTTGGAGCCTGTAATACGTCTGTCTTTGTTTTTTTTTACTTCCACCAGTGAATCGGATAGCGAAACGATTGAGAAAAAACGAGATTTTTTTAAAAGGGAGCGCAGCGATGTCTCCGAATATATTTTATGCTTGCGGTAGAAGTTCTTGAACTTGATACTTAAACGACCCGTCTTCACTGGTTGTGCAGGCTCTAGAATAATCACCATTTTTCGGAGACTTGCTGGTTAAGCCATTGTGTTTCTCTGGGGACCCGAGGTCAGCCTGGTCACAATCTGCCCCACACATGTGGTCTTCACCACCAGAGGGAGTCGTGGCTGTTGTGGATCAGAACGAGATTTTCCACCATGCGACTAGTTTGGTACCAGGACAGTAACGAATGGTACTATTGGTTTACTTTTAGTGGGACTCCTCAACCTGGGAGACCCAGCGGGGGCGGGTGGGGGGGGGGGGGGATGCGAATCTCTCACTGTATATCGCCGTCTGACAGCCAGAAACACCTCTTAGCCAGTTAGCCAGGATGAGGCCTTAAGCCATTGGAGGATTCCTTACCATTACCAGCTAATACTTTCGTGCAAAAGCTGGAGTTAAAGTACAAGAAACTACAAAGCGTCTCCCAGGCATTGGTTTTCAAAATGTGTGAATGCAGGGATAGAAAAACATGCATGAAAAGGTAGGGGACATGCTTTATTTGTGAAGAATGCTGTCCATAGATATAGCTTAACAGGCAAATAATAATAGCAAACATAATTAACATAGGAAACATATAGCAATATGGGAAGTAGGGACTATTGAGGAAATAGTTCCTGTAAATTGTGTAGATTTTCATCTTTCCGTAAGTCAGAATTTAGAAAAATAAATCTACTTTTTTCACCACAGTGGATGTGTAGTTTTTTTCTGTTTCTGAAAATTGCAGGAAATTGGGAAGATGAAAACATCTAGGAAAATTCATAATGAAGTGTAGGGGATAAATAGGGATAAATTATTTATTCGTTTACTTGTGTGTTCTTATGAACTGATCATGTTGACTTTGTTGTTGTTGTCGTAGTTCGACGGCTGACGTTTCGGAGATTTCGCCTTCCTCAGAACCGAGCTGTTATGAATGGGATGACAACAATGGCAACTTATACCAACCTCGCATGAGCTCGAAAGCGAGTTTGTAGAAAGTCAGTCTTTTGAATGCGTCGTTTTCTTGTTCAGCAATCGCGAGGTTGTTAAACAGCACACATTTCCTTCCATAGAGAAACGCAATACAATACAATAGTAGCTAACGTTTCAGCAGCATCGCCTTCTTCACAACCTGGAAGGGTATACTGATATACAATCTACTAGGCCAAACGCTTCAATAACACTCACAAAAAGAAAAACTCTATGGTAATTTACATGATCAAGAACTCAAAAAACTCACCGTTTTTTACGTGAATTCCAATGAGGAGGTTTAGAACAGCTGATTATAGTCGAATATTATTGATGATTGCACCGTCCCACATCAGAAATTGATGCGAACATACGGGGCCAGGTCGAGTATAACCTCTGGGCAATCATCCCTGCTATTTATTGTAGAGTTTTTGGCATTTATCCAAAAAGCCCGAAGAAGTTTTCGCGCTGGTGTTTTAGTCTCCTGTGCATGGATATTGACTTCAACTTCAAATCAACAAAATCGTCTCCGCTGTGCTTTTGTATCGTATGTGTGCTTAGTGGAGTAGTTTGTCTTGCTTTTCTTTTGCCATCTAGGTGTTCTTTTATACGGATACACAAAGGTCTGCACGTTTCGCCAATATATTCATCTCCGCAATTATTACAAGAGATCAGCTATATTGTACCTAAACTCACGCAACCACCGTTCCTGCCGTAAGGGCAAATCACGCAATTTGTTGTTTCACATAGACGGTCATACAGGCGGTTACGAACTAACTGACGACGTAGAGTAGCCGGTGATATTTCAGCTATCGCCACCGATTCCACTAGACCTGCCCTTCTTAAGCATCGTTTTATAGCTGCGCTTACTTCATCGCTAATAAAGTGCAACATAAACCTGAATTTCTGTTTTTTAGACAGCAGGACCCTAATGATGGAGGTGACATAAAATTCCGCATGTTTTCGGACGGCGTTTTCAGAACCCTTAATCACTACCGCGATAGAATGTTTATCTCTAACCTTACACCCGCACAAAAATGTGGCATGCTAGAAATTAGAGAATTAATACACTCGAAAACAATAAGACTGTCTGATAGTGATAAGAGGGGAGAGTTCGTCATTATTCCTCGCCAGCCGGATGTTGAGATAACAGAGGAAGATCTTAGTGATGCTACCCTCTGAAAAGGAATATAAAAGTCAATACCAAAAGCTAAACAATCAATGGGTCGGTGTGGCAAAGGCTGCAGGTTTAAAATCATCGGTTATTTCGCACTTTAAAATCGATAAACCAGCATGTGTGTCCTATACCTACTTATTAAAACACACAAGTTGGTATCACCTGATGATCTTGCGTCAACCAATCCGTCGTCATTCAAGACCAGACTGTAACGGCTCACAGCCCAAGAATATGAAAGGCGTTCGCGGAAGTGAATAAAAGTGAAGAATTGTTGATTGTAAAGGATGGGAATGATTTTGAAATGGCAACGGCGATCTCCAAGGCGTCGTCAGAAGCCAAATGACGGTGTTAGTGGGCGTGGCTACGTCCAAGCGAGAGGCGTTGTGGTCGCAGGTTCAAGGCTCGGGTCGTGGGGTCTAGTCTCCAAGCAATGAGACGTACCCAATAGCATGCTTGGTGGTGTGAATAATGGCTGCAAGATGGTGTGTCTAGTGGCGTGCCCTATGGCTAGAATGGTATGTGGATGTAGGGCACGCACGCGGGCGTTGTGGCAAATGCAGTCTCTATCGACTTATAGAATGTGTTTGTTAGGTAGATAGACCCATCATCAGCTGTGTAGACGGGCCAACGGATAGAATAACCTGGTTTTTAAGCCTAATACTTACCCAGTTGCTTAACCACATTCCAGCTCACCTCACAAACACCCAAATGTTCCTAGAGCGTCTACGTAACGCGTCTCCTAATAACGCGTACATGATGGAGTCCTTCGACGTTACGCCGTTGTACACCAATGTATCTAATGACTGGGCGATGCAAGCCGTCTTCAAACTTCTTGTTGAACATAAAGGCAGAATAAATATGCATGGTTTGTCCATCCAGCAGCTAATGGCTCTCTTAAAGGACTGCCTAAAATGCTCGATTTTCAGATGGTCTGGGAAATATTTCGCGCAAATAAGGGGGTTGGCAATGGGACAGCGATTGGCACCAAGCCTGGCCATTGTGTTTATGTCTAAGATAGAAGCCCCTGTTCTCGATCTCCGGCCACCACTCTACTGCAGATATGTAGATGATTGTTTTGTCGTCTTCTCTACGCAGGAGGAGATGGACAAATGCTTTGAATTATTGAACGAGCAGTCCGAGTACATAAAGTTCACCCGGGAGAAACCGAGAGAAAACTGGCTTCCGTTTTTGGACGTCCAAATAAACCTATCAAGTAGCGGTTACCTGACAAAGTGGTATCGAAAGCCAAGTAACAAGAACATCCTTGTTCATCTCCTTTCTTCCCACCCTTCACACACAAAGAGGGCGCTTGTGAGAAACATGTTTCGAACAGCCACCTCTGTGTGCACTACCAGGGAACTAAAGAATCGCGCGACTTGGCTCAGCAAATAGCCATTTCCAATGGCTACGAAATAGTGACCCCACGGGATAAGTTCAGAACGAGAGCGACACGCCCAAGCGAAACAAATGGCCAAAAGAAAGTCCCGTTTATGTTGCCCTTTATTAGCGATGAAGTAAGCGTAGCTATTAAACGATGCTTAAGAAGGGTAGGTCTAGTGGAATCGGTGGCGATAGTTGAAATATCACCGGCTACTCTACGTCGTCAGTTCATAACCGCCTGTATGACTGTCTATGTGAAACAGCAAATTGCGTAATTTGTCTTTACGGCAGGAACGGTGATAGCATGAGTCCAGGTACGATATACCTGATCTTTTGTAAAATTGCGGAGATGAATATATTGGCGAAACGGGCAGACCTTTGTGAATCCGTATAAAAGAACACCTAGATGGCAAAAGAAAAGCAAGAGAAACTACTCCACTAAGCACACATACGATACAAAAGCCTAGCGGAGAAAATTTTGAAGTAAAAGTCAATATCCTTGCACAGGAGTCCAAAACACCAGCGCGAAAACTCCTTGAGGCTTTTTGGATCAATGCCAAAAACCCTACAATGAATAGCAGGGATGAATGCCCAGAGGTCATACGCGATCTGACTCCGTATGTTTGCATCAATTTCTGATGTGGGATGGTGCAGTCATCAATCATATGCGACTATAATCAGCTGTTCTAATCCTCCTCATTGGAAGTCACGTAAAAAGCGGTGAGTTTTTCGAGAAGCTGTTGATTATGTCATTACCATAGTTTTTTTTCTTTTTGTAAGTGTCATTGAAGTATTTGGCCTATTAAATTGTTTATCAACATACCCTTCCAGCTCTGAAGAAGACGATACTGCCGAAACGTCAGCTTCTGTTGTATTGCATTGCGTTTTCCTATGGAAGTAAATGTATGCTATTTAACAGCCTTGCGATTGCTGAAGAGGAAAGCAACGCGTTCATATTTCAATGCCGAGGTTAATGGAAAGTCGATCCTGGGAATCAGTCTTTTGAGTTATTCGTATATTTATCACATGACCCAATATCATATGTATCACGCTGTGCGAATCCCAGTACTTCTTACAATGTATTCATTTCCTTATATCCACAAAGGACCCCGAACTTTTTTGCGTCAGGTTTCGGCTGCCACTTGATGAGTTCTCGCCATCGTCAAGAGTGCCGTTTAATGATGGCCGATTTCATGCTCCACGGAATCCAGAGATCGCTGTGCCGGGGCGTTTTTGCGTCTATTCAAGGAAGTCAGGCCATCCCAAACTGATGTAGTACCAATATTTTGAGCTCTAAAGTATGAAAGAGACTTGCTTTACCTGGAGCGAGGTCGAACTGGCGTTTGGGTAGGTTGAGCCATCCTCGTAATGAATGTATCACTATCATTGCAGCATACGGTCGCTAATTGGTACGAACGCGTTTCACATCTTGAAGGTTTTTTTACTCATTATCGTTTATGTCTTTTACCGATTGGACATTCTTTCTTTCTCATATTTCGTTATGATTTATTCCAGACAGATGACAAAGGGATGATGGATTGCGAATTATCTGGAGAGTTGTGGAAAGCTAGCAACGCATTTGGTCTGACCATCAACGATCTAAAGAAATTATCTATAGATGCACTTGAAATATCCTTCTTGGAAAAGTCAAGCGATGAATATAGAAAGTTGAAGGAGTTGCTAGAAAGCCAGCAACTGTCATCTGAGGGAACCTAAAATTACTCAATGTGCTCTTTACAAAAATAACCGAGTAATTCTATGAAGTAATGCTTATGCTTCCCTATGTAAAACATTGATGGAGCTTGGTAGGTCTTGTTAAATATTCTTTGTCAGTGCGCTTTCTTTATTTGTGAGAGCGGTATACTCATGATTTATGCTTGTCGTTGTGTCCGTGGAAATTCTCATTGTTTGTCATCCTCCAGTTCCTTTATGGATGAACAACATATGTGCTTCATGTTGATATATTATTGTATTTATGTTCTGTATTCATCTTCATCTTTGTATAAATTCATTAACTTCACAATTAAAGCTTGTGGAGAAGTAATCGTACTTCGAAAGTGGCTTTTCTTTTGCAGGGCCGGTTTTATAAGTACTTGGTAAATATTGAGCCGGTCACTTTAGTCATGTTTTTCGTGACTGCACATTGTAGTCCAGCAGGAACTTTATTATTACAATTGTCGTATTTACAAACAGGTATGACATGGTGCACTGGTGTAGAAAGTGTAGAGTATTCAATGTTTAAACTCTGCAACACATTCGACCACATTGAGAATAGCCGGTGTTGCACAAGCATCTGCCTTCGTTTGGGACTTGACATGGTACCTAGAATTCGAGTGATTAGAGGTTCGTCAGTTCACTAGTTCTGTTATAATCGGTTGAGAAAGAAATTTTGCAGGATAAGATTCAGTGCTGCTGGAAAAAGCAGCAACATTTTTAGCATTTTTGTGATGCGCCAGAAGACGCGCAGTCCAATGCCGTTAGTGATCTGCTGGTTTTCCGAAATTAGATGGTAGTATCTAGATAATCATGAGACTTGAGGGATTGAGTGCACAGCGAGAAGAGACTGTACTGTAAGGCTGTGAGTAGTATATATGCTACTAACTGCTATATGTTTTTAGCATCCGTCAAATTAACACTTCCGCTGGGCATTTGGAAGTGTTTTGTGGCTTACGTTGAGTCCATAGCTGTATTTTCCATACTCACTCATTCTATGCGACAACTATTCATTATAGCGACCAGAATTTGAACGATAGTCAATTTCGCAGTTAAGTTACCGTTCGATGAACTCGTTCTGGAAAAGGCTTTTTTTTCATATTTCAATGTACAGAATAGAGTTTTTCTTGGCCAACGAGCAGCACAACCTCTGTGTTGCTTAAGGTGTTGGCCGATTGCAAGAAGCATAGAAGGAGGGTCCCGAGTGCCAAAACAAATCATCATAAACCGTTGATATTTCCTTTGAAGTGGGTTTCATAGAGGCGGCGTTTGTCGTATATGTGTTGAAAACGAGAGGCTATTCTCAGGAACATGAAGAGAAGTAAAAGTCAAATTTCCTATGAAAGGGAATACGTTGATTTGTTTTAGGTATCCGAAAATCAAAAGAGCAAAAGCCAGGGTATTACTGCATTCTTGGTTTCACACTCAAAGACCTTTCATGCGAATAATGTATATTTGTTTTTTAATGAACTGGTGACAGAATGCTGGGAAATGTTTTGCATGTGTTGTGGTTTAGAGATATTTTTACGCTCAGAGTATCTTTAGGTCTCAAATAGTAGACAAGCTTACCACAAGTTGTTGAGTCTGTTGACAAGTGGTTTGACAGGTCTGCTGGCACAGTGGAACGCAAGCAGCAGGGGGTTGGGTTTGTTGACATTTGACTTCGCATGGTTTGATGCAAGCTGTTATGCACAGAACCTAAAAGTACTCGGGTCATTCATTAGGCACATTAGGCCAGATTGTCGCTGTATCTTATTATTATAGATAGTGTGATGTCCAGCCACTGATTGGGGTAGGAACATTCAACATAGTGATTTCCTAAAAATTTGGCCACCATAATGACGAACTTCGAGGATTTTTCTCCATAAGTGCTCTTGATAGTTTTCCCATTGCTAAAGTGCACCAGAACTTACAAACATAAAGAACAGATCAAGTATAATTTTTGGGATGCTATTTTTATTCTAAAAAATTTTATTTCAAGTACTATTAATGCATTTTTTTGAAGACGTCTCCTTAAGATATATAGGTGTATACAAATGGTTTTTTGGATGAAGTTCACTACGAGCTAAATTACATATCTATGAAGTTATAAGGCCAAATTGTTCTCCATTAGTTGAAATATGAATCATATGGTCGTATTGTTTTAAACTATAACATTGGATTATTTCGTCTATAAATTGCTTACCTGTGAAGGCGGCGAGGGTGGAGGGGGTGGAGGAGGAGGTGGTGGTGGTGGCGGTGGTGGTGGCGGTGGTGGCGGCGGAAGAGGTGGTGGTGATGGTGGAGCCGCAATCGGAACACAACAGGTCTGGCAGACCGTTTCACATTTCTTTATGCATAAATCAACACAGATAATTGTCGGGCAAGTAGATTGACAGCTTTGTTGGCAGACTGGCTGACAAGTTCTTGGCGGTATAGATGGTGGAAGGACTATGATGATTGGCTGTGGTGCTGTTGCTGGTGGTGGTGGTGGTGGTGGCGGAGGAGGAGGTGGAGGAGGAGGAGGCCTTGGTGGCGGTGGCGGTGGTAGCGGAATGGCGCAAAGCTGTTGACAAGTGGTGATACATCCTGGAAATATATAAAAATAGTAATGTACCACTATGAAATGGAAATGCCCCTAAAGTAGACGCTATTGTAAACAGTTAGTTTCCCACTTTTTCTGCCTTCGTTTTGTTTAGAAGAATATTATTGCAGAATTTTCGAAGCTTTCCGAAATTTATTCTAACTTCTTTTTCAAACTATTCCGTAAACTGTTCTGTAAATTGAAAGCTTGAAAACTTGGAGAGCGCTGAAATCAAAGTGGCAACTGATCTAAAGTTCAGCTAACTAAACGAAGAGAGATTAAGCCAGAACTAGCTTTCATCACTGTGATTAATAGACCCCATCTACTCAGGCGACTCCCTCTAAGTACTTGGATACTTGAACAACTCATCCTCACCGGTTGTGCTGGTCGCAGCATAATTTACATTTTTCTGGGTTTTGCTAATTTAGCCACTGTGGTTTCCTGGAGTCTTGAGGTCATCCAGGCCACAGTATGCCCCAGGTCGTCACCACCACTGCCAACGCCCTTGCGCATTAGTTTGCCACCATGTGACTAGTTTGGTACCAGGACGGTGACGGATCCTGGTATTTGTTTACTCTTAGCTAGGTTTCTTGGCGGAGACGCTAGACTCCTTTTGAGCATGGGAGACCCTGCTGGGGGATGAGTGCCCTGCTGCATATCCTAGCTCGACCCCCAGGATACCTCACACCTATGACAATGCAGTAAACCGTTAGTGAGCTCCTAGTATTTTCCTATTGGAAATTTTCATTTTTTCTTAGGTAACTAAATGCGGTGCGTTTCCCTGGCAGTATTATTTACCTGTTTTTACTGAAGTTTCCGAAAAATTCTTGCAGCTTTACTTACCCGTAACGCAGAGTTGAGTTTGGCATGTTGGAATACATTGAGATTGACACATATCTGGACACGTGATTGGCTTAATAGCAATTGTGATATTCCCGATATCATAGTGTTTTTCTAACATCTTACGTATAGTAGGACTTTCATTATGTTTCAGCTTATAACACGGAAATGTATGTAGTCGTAGATAGATCAGTTAGTGGAGTTTAAGCCTCACCTGTGCACAGCATGTCATCGTTATTGGTGAACAGCATCTTTTTCTTCGAGGCTGTGCCGAAGTTGTTTCGGTCTACAGAACAAGATTAGTAGAAGTAAAAGTATCATAAGAGATACAAGTTTCCTATGAAATTTCTCCCACGATAGATCTTCTCCCATTTTTGATGTACGCCATACAGTTATAGTAAATGTCAGCCATTTTACACAAATATAATTGCTAGCGCTTTCACGAAACATCGAAGAGGTCCACTTCTGTGCAGAAGAAGTGGCGGTGGGTTGGGTGGAGGGGACGCTTTATTTTCAAAGTTGAGGCTTGTTGTTTTACTCTTGCTTTGAAAAACATTAGTGGTGCCAGTCAACAATTCTTGGTAACCTCTTACATCTAAAAAAGACGAATTCTATATCCATTCATGCTGAATCAAGTACAGTGGCATATGTAAAAAAATCAGAGTGCCAGTCATTGGTCAATTGAATGAAAACATCTGTTTTTCATGTGAGCAGAAACTTCATAGTTAATATTACGACTAAGACAAAGTGGAAAGTTTGCTCTCAGAACAAATAATGGTTGCTCATTTGATGAATAGGCCCACCTTATTGCTGGCACAGACAGATGTTAAAAGCAAGCAGGTTATTCCAAATAACAGGATCATTTCCTGACGAATCTGATGATTTTCGCCGGTCTCGAAAGGCTTTTATAGTGTGTGTTGGTGAACAAGAGGCGGAGATGGTCAGCGACCGAGGACTGGCTCAACTCGACCGGATGCGAGAACGTTCAAAAAGCGGATGCCGAGAATCTTAAGAGCTGAGGAGTTCGCGAGCTTTACGTAGTCCTAGCTTTAGTAGTAACTTCTGGCTGAGAAGTGCCGTTGGTTGCTGGAAACCGGGGCCGAATTGATGACTCATCGAGTGTCTTTTACAGAAGTGCTGCCAGGCGATGATGTTGTCTGCACTACCTAGATGGTGGACCAAGTATTTTTCAAACTCATTTTTAACTTGTTGTGGTTGAGCTATAGATTTAATTACTTACTAGTGAAACATTTGAACAATACGTCTTCACGAGGTGTCATTGCCTCAGCATACATTACCATTCACTTCTTTTGCGCTCAATTGTCGTCTGTGGAAGTGGGCTACTTCGAGGTTAGATTGTTCAAATACGTATAGATTCAACTAGATCGCACTGATTTTTATGCGCTTAGACGTAGGAAATTAACGTTTTGCTTGTTGTAAATTACTTGAATGTACACTTTCAATAGGATAGCCCTTCGTTACAATCTGTGCTTCTACGTTTTTTTTGGAAAGAACAAAAGCAATTTTGTAGCAATTCTAGCAACAATAACTGAAGCAGCACGTCATCCATACTTCAACTTCAAGTCAGCTTATATTGCTCCAGAAAATCTCACCTTTTTGTATTCTTTCTCTGATAAGCTTACACGAGGTTGATGAATAATTTTGAATTATGAAATATTACTACGAATTATTATTACATTTCTGTCTTACCATATTGTAGTGGCGTGTGGCGCAGGGTCGGAGGCGCCCTGCAGTACACGTGGGATCGATCCACACGTCTCAGGCTCACCAAGCCATCCATTCTTCCAGGGTCGCCAAATTAGTACCAGACTTGTCTGGGAGGATAACAGCACTGGCTCGATATCTCAGTAGAATACCGCATGTTATTGTAAAGACCAAATATACATTCAATCACTTCTAAGGATGCTCAATGACGTCGATTGAAGGGCGCATCCTCCAGGTATTAATCAACACCGAGAACTTTTCCTTACCACATATGGTCTCTCCACGGTCAGTGTCACACGTCATTGACAGTCATATAACTGTAGTGTGAGCAGGATACCGTAGCAGGGCCAGCCCTACTTTTTTTCCTTCCGAGAACCATGGAAGCTGTCGTTTGAATTGCGCGACTAGAACATCTTAAAGTACACTCTGTCAGCAACCTACGGTTACCGCAAACACACAACGAGAGATTCTTGCAGTGCTTGACTGATTTTCATTTGATTAAAGTTTTAATTTGGGTCAGTCTTTTTACTTCGAAAATATTGAGGCAGACACATTTTTTCCTGTGGAATAAACAGCACTTGAGTAAACGCTTTACTTTCCGAAGAGAAACATCCGTTATGTTTGCTTATAGCGCAAGGGTGTTAGTAGAATAACTATTCAGATTATTAGAGAGTTCTCCTCAACTCAACTTCCCTGAAATTCTTGCAGTTACTTGTGTAGCGATATATTTGATGATATTTCGCTGCCAAGACTGATTGTGTCTACTCAACGTCTTTCTGTTGCCAATTTATAATATTCTCTTCTCTGTGCAAAAACGAACTTTGTACCTTTCAAGGAAACGGCTTATGCAGCTCAGAAAATGAAGCTTTTAAGCCGCAAGTGGTGTGAAAAAGTACTGTATCTCAAAATGAGCATTCAATCAAAGCAGTATGTTTGAATGTACTTCTGCTCAGTTTGTCCAGTTTATTTTTATCGATGTAAAAGAATAAGCGCCAGTGTTTTGTTTAAAATTCGGCCTCCGAGCCAGTTTCTGTCCTTTTTATGCCTAAAACACTTTCACGACGGGAAACACACCATCAAACTGTCGTATGCACTTTTAATTCTTTGTTTGCGTGGTAATTTCAAAGTCTTTCATTTCATAGCCAGAAAATCCCCCAGCTGAAGAGGTCCATTCTCTATTTTCGATGTTAAGTGGACCATGTTCCTTAATTCTACAACTTTCTAGAGGACTTGCTGTTTATTTAAGTCTCATTTACTGCCTCAACGTACACTACATCGACACAATGTTTGTGACCTCAAAAGATTATTAATGACTTGAAAGGTTATTAAAATACTAGAAATCAGTTGTTTCCAGTCCATTATTTATAGGGACAATGATTGACGCTTTCCAATGTAATGGGTTTATTCTCGTAGCGTTTGTTAAAGCATTATTTAGAACGAACTTCATCTGATGTTTAAAGGAAGCATTCGCTACCAAAGTCAAATGTACTAGTTGAGCATATGAAGCACGTCTTGTGCCTCATTCCGAAGATTCCAACGAAGAAAACGTATTGCTTAGAAGACGTATCTGATTCTTCATTTCCATCTCCATCAATTTCTTTTAGAGTTTTACCGTTCTCGCTCGTCGATCTTTCCATCTTTGAGTTGAAATTCACTGCAAAAATTTGTATACGTGTCGTAGTTGCAGGCAGCAATAAGTCTATTTCAGGGTGGTCTATTAATCGTACTCGGACGACTAATTTTTAAGTGCCCATTTTTCCTAGCAGCTGAGCACCGATAATAAGTGAAGCTCTACTTTAAATTCTCATAGACAGATAGATAAACACTTCACCACATTATGTTATCCTTTCGAAAAGATGTAGCAAGATGTGTAGGAAGCATTTGTTTATATACAAAGTGTATATATTCTATATCAGGTGGGGTTTGTCTTATTTTTAAAATGAGTGATTTTAGCGAACGGTCATTGGAGGATGACGAGAATACGGCGGTAGGTTTCTCTGCTCATGTAGCTCGAACTTTTTCAGTGGTTATGGTTATGTTTACGTCCTCCCAACGGTTTACCGCCTCATCCTTGCTGGTAGGTGTTCCTGGGTGTCCGACTGTGATGTACAGCGGGGGTATTCGTTCACTGGTGGGGTTTCCTAAGCTGAGAAGGAGTCGGCTGTTTCCATCAGGAAGCTTAGCTAAGAGTAAACCAATACCAGGTTCCAGCACCACCCTGATATCAAAGTCGCATGGTGGTAAATCTCCCTCTCATCCACAAGGGCTGTGACTGCCCGTGGTGGTGAAGACCTGGGGCAGACTTTGGCCAGGCTGACCTCGGGACTCCAGGGAGCCATAATTGCTCAACCAGCAAATCTCCGAAAAGTAGAGATTATGCTGGGGTCCGCACAACCAGTGAGGACGGGCCATTCAAGTATCAAGTAACTGAGTATGTTTATGTATCCAAGAGAAGACTTATATATCCGATCTTACCACATCTCATTAAATGTTTCCTCTCCTTCATTTTTGCGTTTTCATCTTCTCCGCAACACTTTTAACCGTAGTACCTTATTAAGCAGGATATGCTTGCCTGGTTCATTTTTCGGTATATTTTTGTGCAAGCAATGAATGGACATATCACTCGTCTTTGATTATCAACACTTTTTGAGCGCCTTTGAATGTTTGAAATCTGGTTTTCATACTTAAATGATACGACTGGTGTTTAAACATCTCATAGGTTGTAGCAGTTTTCTCATTCGCTTCATTGTCTCGCAATCATTACTCATCAAGATGGTTAGTTTCGGTTATGGATTCGTGAACTTCTTTCATTGATATATTGATTGCTCATAGAGCGTGACTTTCGCTGGCTAGTCGAATAGAGCCTAAAGCCGTTCTAATGCCATCCTCAGGTCGTCACCACAGGTTACCGCCAGCATTTGTGGCAATTTTTAGTTGAGTTCCAAAGACTGGAAGGAAAATCAAGAATTCTCGCTGGTTCCTAGGTTACTAGAAAAGGATGATTGCTCTTTAGCCCTAAGGATTATTCATTTTATCGAGAGAATACGACGTTGGGAACTATTGTCATGAACTTAAGAAAGTTCCCTCACTCACTTTATGCAGAAGCCTCCATAGAAGCTGTGCATCTTATTGTAAAGTACAAAAATATTTTTTAGAGGCTATAAAACACTCGTAATTTTGCTGTTCTACAAAGATAATCATTGGCTTAGCAAACTTCGCTCGAAAGATGATACCACTCTCCGTGTATAAACGCCTATGAATGCTCCTTCTACAGCATTTAGGGCATAAAGTCAGGATCAAGGGAGAGATATCGTCGAGGCTAAAAAGGAGGAAATCAGCATCTCGGGAAGCCTACAAGATCAACCAGAATGTGATGAAGAGCGACGAAAACGAAAA